TCCCGGTCTGGACTGAACCAAATTAATTAAAATATGTTAATTAGGTAACATTAAGGAGTAGTATTATATAAATACCAATTTTTTTTAATCTTTGAAGAACCAAAAAACATAATATGCAAACAATTTCCAATTAAATTAAGGGTTCGCTTTTTCTACAGTTATTGCAGATAAGTTATCTGCAGTAAATCCCAATACGACGTTGTTTTGGGGCAGAAATCATTATATTTTTATAATTTTAATTTATTTCAGAGTTATAAGAATTTTTATATTTATAATTTTTTAAGATTCCAATACTAAAATGACGTTATTTTGAGAATAAATACAGATAATTTATCTGTATTAACTGCATAAATATTTTTTGCTTAAAGTAATATCCCGCGTTATAAGTTGACCTCTTCTGCTTCGTGGAATCGTAAAGTTAGATCTTAGCAATTTACAACCATAATTAAAAAGATGCTACTTTAATACCAAAAGCGAAAAAATTAGATTATTGACGTCGTCATGAGATAAGATTGCGAAGTTAAGAAGACTATCAAATTGTTTTGATCCAAGGGGAAAGAAGTTTCTTTCAAGACTTGACCACGAGTCAGTCTCGTGGAATATATATAATCAATTCATTAAATGCTTAAACCATATTTTACTTACTTTGCTCATTGCTTAGCATAAAATTACTTAAAAACTCCACTTAAAAAAAAAACTAAAAACTCTTTTAAATAAGATTTCGAGCATTTTATTGTGAATCACTACTAGAAAAGTCATTATTATCGATGAAATTTTTCGATAGAAAAAATTCCGTGAAAATTACTGACAGAATTTTCGACAGAATTCGTTTATCGTTGAATTTTTTGACGGAAAACAGATTCCGTCAAAAACTTTCGACGAAAAATTGATTCCGTCGAAACTTTTTCGACGGAAAATGAATTCCGTCGAAGATATTCAACAGAAAATGAATTCCGTCGAAAGCGGATGAATAAAATAAATTGAAAAACAAATTGTTTTTGTGAAGGTTTTCGACGGAACATGGATTCCGTCGAAGATTTTCGACGAAAAATAAATTCCGTCGAAAACGGATGAATAAAATAAATGCAAAAAAAATTAATTTTGTGAAGTTTTTCGACGAAAAATATATTCCGTGGAAGATTTTCGAAACAAAAAACGGTTATTAATTGTGATTCATCCAGAAGATAAGAATATGAACAAAATACGAAACAAGAATATAGGGAAAAGCACCATTTTAAAATTTTTGAGCAAAAGAATTGTCCAGTTAAAGTTGATTGGATAAGTTTTTTCAAAGTAATGCAGTCAAACATGTCATATATGCTGACGGGACTAGTCTCACCACTGACACTGACGGGACTCGTGCCACGTCAGCGTACGTAGGCAGTTTTGTTAGCATAAAACTTCAGAAGACCATAACTTGTGACTCGGGTATCCAAATCAGATGATTTTTTTTTTGATTTCACATAAATTTTCGAGATCTACGCAATGACATCCCATTTAACATATTTTATCTCTCACAAACATAATTTAAATTGGTAACAATTGTACCACAATCACGCGTTTAAATTCAGAAGATCTTCAAACTATATTTGTGGGAGATAAAATATATCAAATTAGATGTCATTGCGTAGATCTCTAAAATTTATGTGAAATCAAAAAAAAATCATCTGATTTGGATACCCGAGTCACAAGTTATGACCTTCTGAAGTTTTACGATAATGAGACTACCTACGTGGCGCTGACGTGGCACGAGTCCCGTCAGCATATGTGACATATTTGACTGCATTACTTTGAAAAAACTTATCCAATCAGCTTTAACTGAGCAATTCTTTTGCTCAAAAATTTTAAAATGGTGCTTTAGCCCAAGAATCTAACCTAAATGAAAACTTTTCAAAAAATTTAAAGATATTTAAATTTTTTTCACCACCCTAAAGCTGAGGGGTTAAACCTCATACAACATTCTTACGAGTTATGAATTAATAACCTACACCTCTCTATAGCTGTACTTTATCAAAAAATAATTAATTTGATCACTAGGTATAATAAAATTATTTTATTTATTTTTTAAAAATTTACCGAGCATATTATCGATTTCTTTTAAATTAACAATTATTGATAGCCTGAAAAAGAAAATTCCTAACAGTAAATACTTCTAGCCTGAAAAAGAAAATTAACAATTGTTGATGGCCTTTCGAAGTCAATTGTTATGGAAGTACACATGCTTTTTTCTTTTGCTGTCATCACGAGGAAGAACAAAAACCTTTGGCCATTTTCATTTCTTGGATTTCCTAGAACACATACACTTCTTCAACTCCTCCAGTCACTGTCTATTTTCTTTTTCTTTTGAGACATCACTCTCTATTATTTATTTCTTTATATCGTGCGGTCTGACAAACTAACCTTTTATTTTAGTGTTGATAATCAAATAATAACATATAATTATTTTTATTTAATAATTTTTTTTTTAAATTCTGAATGAATATTAGACACAGGCTTACTAGCTTTTGTTGTAAAGATCTATTATTATATTTATATTATTTAATAAAATATAAATTACGAATATTCAGTAAACAAACGTAATAACATATTATTAGATAATAATATAAATTTTAACAAATAAAACATTATAATTAAAATCTACATAATAATAATTTAGCTAACAAGTCGCTTTACAATGAAAGTATGAAATATTAAATTAAAAATATTTAATGCATTACTTTTTTTAATTTTTTGTTAATATATAAATTTAAACATACTTTTAATCGTGTTAAATATTATATAAAGACTCATATTTGAAATTTAATAATTATGTTTTTTAAGTTTTATTTTGTTTAATATTTAATTAAAAATTAATTTACTTTTGTACTTGTAATTTAATATTTATAACTAAATTATTTGAATGGGATAGAAATTTCATTTTAACTCGTTAGATGACTTTTTCTTATATAATATGACTTGTATTATAAGGATTGAAATCAGACCACTTAAAATATCCATGGCTTAGATTACACTATTACTCATCTGAATAAGAATTAATTTTATATAATATAAGGACACACTTTGTGAGAAACTTAAAAGAAATATATATATATATATATATATATATATATATATATATATAGAGCCGGCAAAACGGGCTCGGTTCGGTGGGTCAACCCGTCAAACGAGGCGGAGGCTGAGTTTTTCAACCCATCTCAAAAGCGGGGCGGGTTTATTTTTTAGCGGGTTGATGGCGGGCATAAGCGGACCGAGGCGGATCAGTATAAAATAGGCTCAGGCTGGCGGGCCAACTTTCAAAAGCGGGGCGGGACGAGCTTACTCATTTTTTGGCGGGTTGATGGCGGGGTGGGGCGGGGCGGAGCGGAGCGGGCCGCCCACTTTGCCACCTCTATATATGATTATTTGACATTTATTTAATTAACTTTTTATAAAAATAAAAGTTGTTCTAATAAAGTTTATCAATTTACATTTGGATAAACTAAAAAAAAATTATGATATAACTTCTGAAAAAAGTATAATAATTTTTTGAAGTTTTAACTTTAAAAAAAAACTAATTATTATAAAAAATTTAAGAAAAAAGTGTTTGTCATTTTAAGAGAGAGATAGACACAAAATAATTTTTTATTTAAATTTTAAATTAAAAAAAATTATCCACTTTCTCTCGCTCGTGATTTTTATTTTTTGTGTATATCTTTCTCCTAAAATAACATAACTTATGTCATTTAAAATGAAAAACACCAAATCCAAAATTTAAATATATTTTAAATCAAAAATAATTTTATTCATTAAAAGACACAGGAACAGATGATCTTATGTTCAAAACTTTGATAATGGTTTACAAATAATTAATGTGCGATATAGATAGATATAATCTCTATGGCCCAAAAAAAGTAGAAAATAGGGTAACACTCTTCTGTTTTTTGATCAATTAAATTTACACATCAACCATGACTCACTCCAGATAAAAAAGTTCGAACGACCTCATATTGTTACTTGTGAGTTATTGAGGATCAAAGCGATTACTTGAAACGAGAAGGGACGAAGAAAATTCTTGCTTGCATTTCTTCGTATCATTAAGAAAAGAAGAATATTTCAAATTAGAATAAATTGGTTCACGAAAAATGTGAAAAGAATATATCATATCATTCTTTGCAGATTACTGAGCTGTCAATTCAATTTGATGACATTATTACGACAATACAGCCTTTAAGAGAGGCATACATCATATTTGAAAGGTATTTATTAGCTTGGAAAGAATGGGAATGTTATATTTACGTAATTTTTGTTTATAAATTTAACTATATTTTATTGGTAATAGACTTGGTATGAATGTACTATGTGTAGGATACAGTGTAGTTTATAAAATTTTATAAATAAAAAATTTATAAATATAATCTACCTCTTGGAAGATCTATATATGTGGTAGAATTATTTTATGGGTTTCGATTTTCTCATGCGATAGAAGAAAATTTTCTAATGCTGTGGACACATCTTATGTGGAGCTCACGTCTATTAAAAAAATAAAAAAGTAAAAGAAAATATCGCACAAAAATCAAAGAGTCACTAGTAGGAGAAAACAACTTTCCTTATATGTACATACTAGTATAAATTAATCTACAATTTTAGTCTTTGATTTTATTAATATCTAATATTTTTAATTAATTAATTATATGAGCCGTTAAATAAATAAAAATGATTAAGATTTTATATATATATATATATATATATATATATATATATATAGTCAAAGTTGTGCCCACTCTGGTAGACTTTCCTTTGGCTGTTGCAACGAAAGCTAACATGGATTCAAAAATTCCTGTCATTGGCATTTCACCTTCCTTGATTTAATAACCTTTGTCCTTTGGTGGCCTCTTGAGGACCCCTAAAATATATGATATGTATCATTAAGTCAAAAACTTGTAAGCTTTGGAACTCCTCTATTTTTAAGAGATATATATCTCATAATGGAAATGTTTGACTATACTCCAGCAGCCAATATTCAATTTACACAATGAGACATGAAAAAATAATATAAAAAATATGGAATGGAGGAAAATCATTCACACGTTATAAGAAGCTTTCCAAAGTTTGAGATACTCAAGCGTTACAAACAAATGGATGTGGCCAAGTTACATAACTCTGATGACAAGAAAGAAGATGAAGTAGTACTTCCTGGTTTTAGATTCCATCCAACAGATGAAGAACTTGTTGGGTTCTATCTGCGGCGAAAGGTGGAGAAGAAGCCTCTTCGAATTGAACTCATCAAACAGATTGACATCTACAAATATGATCCGTGGGATCTTCCAAGTAAGATCTGCTTCCCCTTAATAAATTTCATGAGTTTTCTTACGATTCATCATCATCCAATAATTAAGGACTAGAATGTTTGATCAAGATAAATTGATGTAATTGAATGAAACAATGAGATATTAAAGAAAGCATATATACTGTCACGGAGAAGGTATCTGAACTTACCATATCTTAGTTATTATATCGATATAACAAATGATTCATTAGATGGTTTGATTGATATGCTAAACATTTTGCCAAGTTTTCATGTGAATATCTAGAAACTCAAGTGTTAATAATGTGTTATTCAATAAAATATAATTAGCAAAGGAAGACAGAGATTTGGTATGCATGATATATATATACCATATGTTTCAATTCTAGACTATAGCTAGCTAGTTAGGTGCAATTAATAAATTAACCCCATTTTGATTTGTTTTTATATATATATTGTATAATTAATTCATGGTTTCTGATCTCAAGCCTTTTGTTTATTTCTATGCTGGTAATGTACGAAGAAGAGAGTTCTGTGGGGGAGAAAGAATGGTATTTCTTCTGCATAAGAGGGAGAAAATACAGGAACAGCATAAGGCCTAACAGGGTAACAGGGTCTGGATTCTGGAAAGCCACAGGGATTGACAAGCCTATATACAGTGTTAAAGAAACCCATGAATGCATTGGCCTCAAGAAATCATTGGTTTACTACCGCGGAAGTGCAGGGAAAGGCACCAAAACTGATTGGATGATGCATGAGTTTCGCCTCCCACCCAACGGAAAAACTAGCAATAATCCACAACCTAATGCTAGCAATGATGTTCAACAAGCTGTAAGTCAATTATACATATATGTTATTCATTGCTTTTGTTGTTTTTCCTTATACTATTTAATCTAATAATTAAGATAGTGTTTTAAACTTCTTTTCTATGTTGTTTGAAAATAGATGAGATGTATTAAATAAGAAAGTATACCCATCTAGAGCCGGATGTAAAGACAAATCTAGAGGGAACAATTTCAAATGTCTACAAGTCTACAACTGTGGCTGAGATTCTGGGTTAGAAACTCGTTCGTATTCAAGATTGCCATATATAAAATACTATTGTAGATATTATTCTAAAGTCAGAAGCACGTTTATTAGACCCCATAAAGGAGACTTAAAATAAGATTACGACACATAAACCAATTTATTTACTAATTAACCACATTGACTCATCTGGGAGGTTTAATTAGGCCTTCACTAAGACTTATGGCATGGTCTGACCTTAAAATCAGATAACACTCTCTACTGTTAAACTTTTTATTATTAAAATATAACATATAAAATATTAAATTATAATTAAAAAAATAGACTTGGGGTGTCTCAAAAACTTCTGGGTATATGCATAGAATACATACATGAAAAGATGCAGAAAATTTGGCTTCATATTTATCGTAGAGAATATGGGTGTTGCATGTGCGTACAGGATATTGAGTTTATATTAAGATGTAGGATATTTTTATTACTATTTTTCTTTTTTACTATCACTCTAATTATTGATTTAGAGGAAAAGTTGAATGAAGAAAGAGACTCAAAAAAATAAAACAATTTTTGAATCCAATAGTAATTAGAGTGATAGTAAAAAAAAAATTGGTAGTAAGAATATCCTATCTCTATAATTGCTTTATAAAAAAAAAAAAATCTGTTATATCTACTAGGAATATAATATTTTAATGAAAATATCACAATAAAATGTGAATTAAGTTAAAATTCATAAACTAACCTTGGTAGTAATTAATAAGTATAATTTATTAAAATTAATAAGATTTCGTAACAAATTGGTTGGTTTTTATATTACATCATTAGTCTAATTCGGATTTGATGACACGTTTCTTAGGCTGCTGGATAGTCAGGGTCTTTTGGATTGAATAAATGGGATTTAAGAGAAACTGAAAGGGAAAATAGTGAAGTTGGTGTTACCCTATTATTTAATCATATTATTTAAGGAGGATTATTTTTCTTACGTGGCATAAGATAAAATAATCTTTTTACATATACAAATTTTATGTGAGACTCACTTTAAATTTTTTCTCTTTTTCCTAACCTCTCTTTTTTTTGTTTGTGATTATAAGAAGATTATTTTTATCTTATGCAACATACGAAAAACTATCTCCATTGTCAAATTATAAAGTTAGTTACCAAAAATGACTATTTAAAAAGTTTAATTTTTTAATGATATGTTAATACACTATCAAATGATTATGTAAAAAATTTTATTATAAGAATAGAACAAATTTACATTAGTTCCTTACATAGTTTTAACTCAATTTCTCTATACTATGTTAATTCAATTCACTTCCTTGCCTTGTTTATCAACACTCTTTTTAATGTAGTGAGCCTTGAGGAAATTTATATCAATCATTGGGGAGTGGATTCTATCGAGTTATTTAACATCACTGTTTAACATGACTATACAAAAATAAATCAATAGTAATAAAGGGAAAAAAAAATTGAAATAGATAGATCACTTCCGAATTTTTTCACGTTAATTCATCCTTATCTAATTAGAATTTTTTCACGTTAAATAACACACAATTCACTTCCGAATTCCAATCGTTCACATAGCAGTAGATCACAACTTCTTGTATCCTCGAGGATCTTGTGGTTCTCATGTACATCAGTGTTACATAAATTGCATTTATTTCATCTTCCAACCAAGTCAACTATGTTTAGTACTGATTGATATTGGGGTACCTATTATTTTGCTTGCACGGTCTTGTCCCTTTATATTAACAAGCGTTTTTAAAGTGTCTTTGTTTCTATGCCCTTTATGGGGGGGTTTGCACTTTGCAGGAAGTGTGGACGCTATGCAGAATATTCAAACGAATCCCATCTTACAAGAAGTACACACCAAATTTGAAAGACTCGGAACCAGTCACCAAGCCAAACCCCACTAATTCTTCAACTTCCAAAACATGTAGCTTAGAATCTGACAACAGCAAGTCGTACTTGACTTTCACAGACTCTGCAGTCATTCACCAAATTGAAAGGAAACCTGTTATTGGACAAGTTGACGAAAGGAACAACCACTTATTTCAAGGTCAGTTAGGCAATGTAGCTGCTCAGCCTCCAACAACGTTGTCTTACTCAAGTTTTAATTGGAATCAGAATGTGAATGATGATGCATTTGCAAATGAGAACTGGGATGATCTCAGATCTGTCGTTCAGTTTGCTAATATTGATCCATCCAAGGTTTATGATTGTAAAGAATTAAATAGATTTTAAGATCATTTCTTTCTTTTTTTGCTATTTTAACTGCCATAACAGTTACATATCTCCCACCCTACTCTTTTTCTTGGCTTCAAGTGAGAAAGTTTGACAAAATAGTGTATGAACAGTTTGCAGTTTTGCCATTATTGTCATACACGGGGTACTTATGTCTAATTTACACACGGACTTGTAGGATATTCACAGTTTAATTTACTACCTTCTTCAAGTCTTGAGTTGTACCTCACTACTCTCCCTATTAGTTTGTATTAATCTCTTTTCACTGAAGCATTTTTTGTTCCTTTTTATTGGTCTATTTAAAAAATTAACGAAGGATTAAGAATAGACGTATTCAGAACTGCTTTTTTTATATCTCTCATTATTTGGGAAATGAAGCATTAATTATTATTTTTTAACTTCACTCCTAGTATAAGTAAGTAGTAGAAAAATTAATAAAGTGAAAATAATACTTTGAATATTTTAGTGAAGAATAGTACAATCCAATAAAATTATTTTCGCTTTCAATTAAAGTTAGTTAATCACTTCAACATGCACTTAAATCTTACACCATCTTAGGTCATTTATGCGTGCTTTCATGAAATTACTAGAACAGTGTTTTAATAACAGTGCAACAGACACATGACATTACACAACATCAGATATCATGCATAAACTGGGGATTGCTACTGAAGAAAGCTTAGATGAGTTTAACTGTTGTTTAACTTGCTCTATTCGTTGATCAAATGTTACATTTCACAGAAAATTCACCAGTCAGCTTGTTGTATTACATTTACATAAGAAAAAAGGTACTCACTTTCAAGGCAGGTCATAACACAGCTTGATTAGACAAATTATAAAATGAAATCAATAAGGTTTACATGCTCATCCAACAAAATGGTATATAATTACATTCCCTAAAGTAGAATATTTCTCTATCTTTGTATACATGTGATTAACATCAGGGCTGATGGAGAGAGTTTGCTCCTTGTTCATGATGATGATTGGTATCTGGCTGGCTAACCACAGGAATATCCAAGCTGCTTCCATTAGTTTCGGGTGCTACTTCCCTAACATCAGCTATCCTTGCCTCTGTTGCCTGAATATAACTCCATTCATTGTCCCCAACAGGCTGAATGTTCACCTGATCTGTTGCCATGCGAACTACGCTCTCTGCAGGGACAGGGATTGCTCTAGAATCAGTCAGGCATGCTTTATCCACATTCTCTTCTGTGGGGTCAACATGCTTTGTATCTGAGCATGATTCTGTCTTCTCAAAAACTTGAGTTGTATCAATGTGCTGCCTGTTAACAAAAAAACTATCTGTTACGTCAACTTTGTTTTTATAACTCCACATTTCATAGCTGAAAACATATTCAACCTCAATGAACTCAAAGAAGACAAATAAACCATCAAAAGTTTACTTGCATTTCCCTGTTTCCCTTATAAAGTATTGACATATAATATTTCCGTCTTCATGTTTGGGTTGGGTGGGAAAAGAAAAGCAAAGTGGTCATATCTAACTAACAAAATTTCGTGCAAGGGCTAAACAAAATAATATGCTGAACCTTTGAAGTTGTGCTTTTAGTTTGTTCACATATGCAAGAAGCTCCTGCTTCTCTTTTATTGCTGCCGATTCTCTCTGGACAGCCTCCTTTATCCTTGCTTCAGCATTTGCCTCTGCAACTCTAACCTTTTCTTCTGCCCTGACTACAGCTGCTTCTAAGATCACATCATGCTCTCTAGCTTTTGCCAGTTCAGAGCGCCACATATTTGCCTCCTGAATAGCAGCATCTCTCTGCCTGATTAACTGCTCTCTTTCTTTGCTTAAGCCCATAATCTTTTCTTCAGACTCTTTTACCTACAAAAAACAATTTAAGACAAATCTGCATTCAAGACAATTTCGTTGCACCATAGTTATAGCTAAGGGTTAATTGTCTCAAGCAGTTTACCAAGAATGAATCTGATATCTATCAGCCAAAAGATATTTTCAAACGAACCAGCATACTAGCATACCTTCTGTGCAGACACCTCCTGCTGCTTCTCAGAATCTTTTATCAAACGCTCAATTTCTGCACAAGCAATTCTCCGTTGCTCATCCAGAGTATATGCAGCAGATGCTGCTGCCTCGGCGGCTTCGGCAGTCTCAGATAGTTTATCTGCTATGTCTTTTATAGTTGAATCACGTGCCCTAATATCTCGAGCTAAATTCTGTAGCTCCTCATCCTTAACTCTTAGTGTTTCCTGTAGAGTAGAGCAGCATCTTCAGAATCAAATCCAATGCAATAAAGAATCATGAATGCCAAAGAAGACAATAAAACATCCACATGCAGATATTCCTTGTCAAATTAAAAAACTTCCCTTCTCCATTTACCTCTTTTTCTAAGCAAGTGAACATACATCAGAAGTTTGTAAAGGTCAGTGAGCCAAGCAAACAGTGATACAAAGGGTAGACCTCTCCTAACCCTAAAACCTAAGGAAAAAATTCATGCATCTAGAAAAAAATACTACAAGAAGGAAAGACATATTTCTACTGTTTAATGCATGACACAAAGAAGCCTTATTATAATTCAAATAAAAGCATTCTGCCATTTTGTGTATCTTGCCACAACCATTATTTAATGCATTATTAAAAAAGTATTACAATCGAAATCACAGAATCACACAACCAAAATTCTTAAGATTTCTTTTTTAAAAATTTTCTGGCCAGTAATTATCCAATTAAGGGTGCACTTGGATAAGCTTTGAAAAAGAAAAAACATTTACGATATAGTTTTTTATTTACAAGCAACTCTTTCTAACACTTCTCAGTAAAACACTAAAACTGTGTTTTTTTTTGTTTTGTTTTTTTGCAGTTTTTGCTAATTTTAAAAACCTTCTCTAATTATCTTAAAATTTTATACACATGATTTTTTACTTAAAGAATAATTTTTTTCTTAAAAAACACTGACAAACAGGGCCCTCTGTTTTTCTATTATGATAGAATTATCATGATTCAATTTATTTCGTTTTTCTTAAGACTCCAATTATCATTATAGTTAAAAGTTGATGTCAAGTGTGAAGACCCTAGCTGATACCATGTAGGAGACAATATCTGGCAGTTTCACTCATTTGGGGTAAAACGTAAAACCATTGCCATTTCATCTGTTTGGTATGGCTGATAAAATAATTCCCAATGGGGGGTGGTCAGTTCAGCAACCCCAACCCCACGGAACTCCTTTTTATTTCCTATTTAAATGAATGTCCTAGGCCGCAGAACTCATTAATTTTTCTTCATCATGGTTTTATTTATAATCATTAATTATCCTGTATCCTTTTCCCCTCCTCTTAAACCCCCAATCAGTGATGAAGCTAAGAGTAGATTCCATGATGCAGGGAGTAATTGAACTAATTCAAATAGACTTTTTATCTAACAGAATAAGGAAGGAAAGATGAAAGTACAAACATGTCAAATCTTTACAAAATTCAACACGTCAAGAAGCTACAAAGAAGACTCCTCCAAAATCCAAACCAAAAGAAAATAGCAAAAGTAGGACAAACCAAAGGGTGAAACAGAAGCCTGGTTTTTAGAAGAAATTACACAATAAGCAGGATAAGATTAAAGTCAAGGTATATCATCAAGACTACAGAAAAAAATAGGAACCAACTGCAGCTCTGCTGTACCTTCACAAATACTGAATTATGCATTGGAGCACAGAGAAAGATAGAATAAACCAGAACTAGACTGTACCTTCATGATTGTTAAATCATCCATAGGACCGTCAGTAGTCTTATTTGTCATCATTCCTAGAGCATTTCTCAAAGAAATCTGCATTGCTGCTTCAATTTCTTTAGAACATTCCAAGGCTGTTGAATTGGCTGCAGCAACAACGGTAGCAACGGTTCCTAATTTTGTAGAACCATTCCCACTTAAGGAGCTCACAGCTTCTTTATGGGCTTTTAGAACCAACTGAGTTGCACTGATGTCATACGATAAAATAAATCAGACAAGGAAATAATTACAGACCATTAGATGACAATTTTGCAACAGAAACAGTCCAGTAATCATACAAATTGATCCATTGTAGCATAAACCAAGAACACCAGATAAAAAAATAATAGTAATAAGAGGACCATAAAAATAAAAGCTAAAGAATGGCATGACATTAGTATTCTGAAGGTCTCCATTTCAAAGCTAAACACATCGTTTATGACAGTTAGAAAAATATGAATGGAAGATACGGCAGTAATGAATCTCCAACAATTATAAAAAGAAGTGTGAATTTCAAAAACAAACTTTTGCAAGAAATTAGTACTGAAAAACTCTATAGAAATGTATTAGTACTTTTAGGTTCAAGCATGTAGTATTACATTCTCAAGCTATACCTCTTTAAACATCTTATAAATTGATGCTTTCCAAATACAAATTTTATTAGCATATATATTAATATGACTGAAAGGTATATGACTGAAAGGTCATGGGTTCGAATCCAGGAAACAGTCTCTTTGCAATTATGCAAGGGTAAGGCTGCGTACAAGGATTTCCTCCACCCCACACTCACTAGTCGGGTTTAACGGAGAGTGATTTTTGAGTGGTTTATATATTAATATTTTGTACAACCATATAAAATAAAAAAGGCTAAGATAATATTCCATGGAACATGGCGTCAAGAGAAAGAGGAAAAAGGGAGAAGAAAGTGTTGGATTATAAAACTTACTGTAAAGTTGACACCCATGCTCTAGCTGCACCAGGAGTCTCCGCACAGAGGAAGTAATCCTGTTTCTGAGGTGTCCCAATATCTAAAGGAGACAGTTAGAGGTAACAAGCAGAGTGATTTTCATCCATTTGATAGTGATTGATAATTCGTAAGTGCTAAACATAAAGTGATAAAAATGACAAAAATGACAAAAAGGATACAAAAGCAGCACCCGTCATACTTTGGTAGCCCACTGTAATACACAAAAATAAAATGAATAACATGACAAATGAGTATCAAAAATAAAATTCATCCAGCACAATTTCATAAAACCATTGCTGGAAGCTATTCAAAACAGGCTTATATCAAAAACACCACCATTCTTACTGGAAATTCACAGGAGATATAGTTATCGTGCTATTAGCATCAAATATAATTGTTCCCTTAACAGTTGGCTCATTTCTTCTTAACCTACAGCAAGAAAAACAACACAAAAGATTATTAGCCAGAGTGTTTTCCTTTCTCCCACACAAAGAGAAACAATATATGTACATATACATATACACCTACTTGTATTCCATTCTCCCAGTTGTTGGGTCCAAGATTACCCAACGCTCGTTCCATTTTCTCAGCTGTAAACACACACAAAGATGATAATAATTTCGTATGCGTAACAAATAAAAATTGAAACTTGGAAGTAAATAGTAAAAAATAAAAAATACCCAGATTGATCACAAGTGAAATATTGATGATCAAAGTGAGAAAAAAGAAATACCCAGATAAAAGGAGTGAGTTAATTACAGTTTCAGATCTCTTGAGGAGTGGTCCCTGCAACAAGTTTCTACCAGAAGCGGAAGCTAGCTGACGCTTAATCTTCTCCAAGCTATTCTCTGTGTTTTCAACAGCTCGCTGTATCATTGCAATTCAGCTTAGTATTACCACCATTTCAAAAACACACACACACAGAAAGACAGAGACAGAGGATGATGGGTTACCGGAGAAGCCATGAACGTGGCGTAGATCAAGACTTGTCCGGAAGGGTTTTTGCTTTTGGTGATATTTCTCTGATTTGCTTCTTCTTCTTCTTTTTTTCCGGAATAAATGAAAGAAAAATAATTTTAAAAAACGGAAAGAAAAATAATTAACGGGAAAGACCGGTAGGTATTTTGGTACGGTGACTTGTAGTTGCCGTTGCTTGTTTGGTTGACTGGGATCGATAGCTTAAATGATCAAATTAACCAAGTGAACCAATCGAACTAACCACAACCCTAAACTTGTATCCGATACATTTATCGATGATCTCGTCGCGACGGTGAAATTTAGGGGGTGCATGGATTAGGTTTCAAAGTATTTTAATGAATTATTTTTGGATAAAAAAAATTATTGGCATTTAATTATGATTTTAATAGATTGAAAAAAGGTTATACAGTAGGGATAGGATTGTGACACTCAAGTTATGTTACACCTATGTGACACCCAGTCAATCTCACTGTTAGATCGCTTATGTTGATCCAACGGTTATATTTATTTCTATCTTTGTATGGTCATGATTTCCCAAATTTAAAGTGAAAGCATTAAATATGAGAAATCATAACCATACAAAGGTAAAAATAAATATTAAATATTAAATTTGGAAATCATGACCATACAAAGATAGAAATAAATATAACCGTTGGATCAACATAAGCGATCTAACGGTGAGATTGACTGGGTGTCACATGGGTGTAACATAACTTGGGTGTCACAATATCCTATCCCTTGTGACACCCAAGTTATGTTACACCCATGTGACACCCAGTCAATCTCACCGTTAGATCGCTTATGTTGATCTAACAGTTATATTTATTTCTATCTTTGTATGGTCATGATTTCCCAAATTTAAAGTGAAAGCATTAAATATGAGAAATCATAACCATACAAAGGTAAAAATAAATATTAAATATTAAATTTGGAAATCATGACCATACAAAGATGGAAATAAATATAACCGTTGGATCAACATAAACGATCTAACGGTGAGATTGACTGGGTGTCACATGGGTGTAACACAACTTGGGTGTCAGTCACAATATCCTATCCCTATACAGTATTCGATCATGATTTTAAAAGATTATTTTAGAGTCCGTCCAAATCTGTTAGTATTTAATCAAGATTTTAAACAATGAAAAAATAATCATGTGGTATTCAAAAATCTAACGATTATAATAGATATTTTATTTGTGTGGATTTTGTGAGACTTTTTAGTAAGAAATATAAATAGGATGTCTCTCTTCAATCTCATCCTAATTACTTGGATTTCTTGAGATTTGTCTATTGCAGTATTTTCTTCTTCCTTTGGCAGGTTGATCCACTCGAAATCGAATTTCGCCGTGGAAGCTTCGTCAAAACTCAAAAATAACATATTTTTGAACGATTTTTATCACAAAACAACCAAAAAAAAACAAACCAACGAGATTTTAATATAATCTATATCAAAAACAACATATTTTTTAGCCATTTTTGAGAAATTTTGAAAGTTTATAAAGTGAGTTTTTAAGTTATGGGTTGCGATTTTTCTTGACATAAAAATGTGTGATTTTTGTATTGAAAACAACATAAAACAGTGGGAAAATAACAGGAAACTAAAACCCTCAAATCAATTTTCATTTTACATCAATGAAACAATGTCAATTTAAGAAAAAATGAAAATTTTCATAATATGAACCTTATATTTCGTAATAGAGGTAGCATCTTTGACACGGTATCAAATTTAAAATTTAACACATCATCTGAGAGCTGTCAAAAAGATCAATGGTGTCGTATGCTTACAAATCAAAGTCGTTGAATTTTTTTGATCTAATGACTTTTAGATCGGTGTCAAATTTCACACCGGTGTCAAAGAATCTTACCTCTTCGTAATAATATATTCGTGAATGAAATTCATTTACTATAAGAAACGATTTCAAACATTTTTTGTGTCAATAGATAACTAAAAACTTATTTTTCAAAAGTCTCAAAGCAATTTAAGGTTTCAATGTATCGATTAAAAAAAATTGTGAAATTTTCTAAACTTTCATATAACAAAACCCAAAAATTCAGATTCAAAATTTTCTTAGAATATTCAATGAAAATATGCATATGATATATGGTTAAAAAACTATCATCACTTTCAAGATCAATTGCAAAAAATTCTAAATGAAATTTTATCATAAACTTTAGGTTCTATATGCAAATTTATAATTATGTTAATAATTTAAAAATAGGTCTTATAATCATATATGCATAGTTTTGACACAAAATGAAGAAGATAATTTTTAACCCATTGGTCAAACCCAAGAGCAGGAACGAGAAAATGCTAATGCACGGAGGACTAGTATAACTTTAGATATGTGAAAAGTTATTGCTTAGTAATTTTGAATGTTTGTTAAAAATTATATTATGTTTTACTGATTGAGAAAGTTATATTAGGCTTTACTTTTTTTGTTAATTTCATTGCATTTCTTTTCTTTGTTTTTTTTTTTTTGGGAAAATTATACTTACAACATATTTTTTTTTATAACCTTTTACAACCATATCTTAATCGTTGATTTCCGTCAATTAATGATTATTATTTTCGCAAATCAAACTTATTAATTAATATTTAATTCACAATGAAGGATAACCGTTCATTGAAGAAAGTCAACGGTTAAGATATAGTTGTAAAATGTTGTAAACAAAAATAGGTTATAAGTATAACCTTTTCTCTTTTTTATTGACTTTTGTAATTTTAAATGTTAGTTAAAAATTCATATGATTTTTTAAAATCTTATAAATCTATAGTGTCTTTTCAAATCTTATAAATTCTATTAAAATACTTTAGAATCCAATCTTATGAAATCTTGATTGTAAGAAAAGTCTTTTGAAAAAATCTTTTAAGTCCCTCCAATTCTAAATAGTCTTTTAAAATCTATTAGATTTTTTATCTCTAATTTTTTTTTTTAAATCTTAATCCAATACACCCCTCTTAAGCATTAATTAATGGATTATTAAAATAAGGCTTCTGTTTTTTATTAAAATGATATAAAATTAATTAAGATTTAGAGGTCGTTTGTTTCAGCTTTTAAAAAAAGTAACTTTTATCACTTCCTTATTTTAAAAGTACTTTTTACAAAAGTTAAAGCTATTTATATTTTTATAAAAATATTTAGTTTTTGAAAAAAATATTTGACTTTTGACTTCTGCTTTTCTTAGAAGTTAAAATTTTTAGCTTCAGAAAAAAAAATAGATTTTTGACTTTTTTTGTGACTTCTCTTTCTTTTAAAAGCAGATATCCAAATGAACTAAAAACGAGAAGTGCTTTTTTCCTTAAAAAAAAGCAGCTTTTAAAGAAAAAAAACTCATCCAAACGGACATTAGTTTTACCAAAAAGAAAAATCTATTAAATTGTTTAGAGCAATTTGGGCCGTGTAGTTCATTATTGGGTTCGTATGTGACTCGCCCATTCAAATGGTCAATCTTTTGACCAAAATAATTGATTTTTTATTTATTTATAAGCATGATTATATTAATTTATTTTGTATTAAAAAATTAATTTTTTTAAAAGATATTATTTATAAATTTTTAAAGTTATTAATTAAAATATGCACTGAATATTTATTTACTGAATAAAAAATATTAATGTGAGTATTAAAAATTAAAAAATCGTGCAATGCACAATAACTTTAACTAGTCAAACAATAGTAGACATGAAAGTAGATTAGCCGAACCATCACAGCACTTATCACCTAGACTTGATATGAGTTTAGCATGATTTGTTCGACAAAAAATAATAGTTCATGAAAAAATTTAGATAAACAAATCAAGTTTTAAGCATTTTAAAATAAATATCTTGTTAGATTAATTTATTTATATTATATTAGACTTGGTACTCCTGACATGCACAGACTTGTAATTTATGGTATTAATTATTCAAAGCTTATTAATTGTACTATTTTATGGTATTACATTTTTTGATACAAAATTTTGATACAAAATTTTGATAATATTTTAATCTACTAAATAATTTTTTGATAATATTCTCGTAAAAGACCTTTCCTGCAATATTACTAGTGATCGTGATTCATTACGCACCAAAAAATTTATCTTCTAACAAACGAACTTAGCATGGTTTCCCTATTTTGCATGGAGAAGAACGTTATTTCAAAGGCACTCCACAAGAAGATAACGAAGATTATTGGCGCCGACAAATTGCTACGACAATACCATCCGAAAGTTCGAGGACTGGTGCAGAAATAAAAAGAATGGTTGTTTGTCCAAACAGAATTTAGAAAAAGAGAATTTCACTCATATTCTGTGTTTACAAAACTGATCTCCACAATACAACAGGGGAGAATATATAACATGAAGAAATAAATTAAACCACCTAACTATCATGTTAACAGAAAGGAGAAAGCTAATAAACTGATAACAAAATATCTGAACTAACTAACTATTCCCTTTTATTTTAGGGCAATATACTCTTGTACTCCTTTTTTTTTTATATTTTCCTTTCAATTCCCTTTTATTTTTCATTTTTGGCAAGTAGCATCGTGCTCCCGGATCACGAAAGAAACGCTCATTCCCTAGATCCTAGTTGATTGAAGCTATTGCTGAACTTTGGTAGTGAATGGCATTGGAGCGAAATTTGCGTGATCCGAGAGCAGAGAAAAAAGGTTGAGAAGAGAAGAGAGAGAAAGAAAAAAAAATTGATCTAGATATCAATTTTTTAGTGGAAGGATCATGGCAACCCTTGTTGAGATATATTAGTCCCACATTGATTGGATGGGTAACTAATATGGCCTTTATAAGGCCTTGGGCACTCCCACCCCTTCGAGCTAGCTTTTGGGGTGGTGTATCCCAAGGTTCTTTATGTTGAGATATATAATCCCACATTGATTGGATGGGTAACTAATATGGCCTTTATAAGGCCTTGGGCACTCTCACCCCTTGAGCTAGCTTTTGGGGTGGTGACCTCAAGGTTCTTAACATGGTATCAGAGCCTAACCGTCCCCCGCTTTAAAAAGTGAAATTAAAATAAATAAAAAAAGCACAAAAAAGGTAAACCAAAAATGGACCTGTGCAATTTCCACGCTTCTAGCCTAAAGGGCTCTTGCGTGAGGGGCACAAAAGGTAAACAAAAAATTGGGCCTGTGCAATTCCACGCTTCTAGCCTAAAAAGGGCTCTTGCGTGAGGGGGCGTGTTGAGATATATTAGTCCCACATTGATTGGATGGGTAACTAATATAGCCTTTATAAGGCCTTGGGCACTCCCACCCCTTGAGCTAGCTTTTGGGGTGGTGACCTCAAGGTTCTTTACAACCCTGGACCATGTTAAAAAATTCCATGGCATTGACACGTATAAAATTGTTATAGAATTGTGAGTGTATTTTAAGTCCATGGGATAATTTTTAAACCTGATTTTACTTCCTCTTTCTTTTCTCTTGTTTAATATCATGTCTAGCATTGTACGTACTCATTACTTATTTAGTGATCAAAGTACAGAATATTCCAACTGCCACCGCTCTGAATTTGCATGATTAGTTTGTCAATTTAAAGAAAATACACTTGATTGACCGAAGAACCCAGTTTGAAAAACCTGCCATGGATTGAAATATATTTGGAGTTTTGACTGAAGGAACACGTAAAACTGAAATTTGAACACTGTTTACTCGGAGGAGAATATAATTGATCTGGAAAACTTTATTCTCATACTTGCCATTGGATAACCTAATTGCTTTTAATATATCTAGTAGATTCAAGATGTTCCAAATGGTATTCCTACTTTTTATTTTCCTTATATTTCAGTTATCTTGCAATATTTAGACTCTGAATTGAAAGACCATTTTATTACATACTGCTTCTCAAACTCTGGAGAAGCATCGTTAGTATAGCCATGCAGTCTATGCTTTGCTTAACCTTTTTTTTTTGTGTGGAAACATTTGCTTAACCTTTTATTGATACGGACCATTAATAACTCCTGCAAAAAATTAACATCTCAAATGTATACATTAACAATTTTACATATATTCCTAATATTTTAGAAGATCTTTCCACTATCTCTTATGGTTTACATGACCCCGATATATAATAATATTTTGACATTGAAAAATTCAAACTATTCCATCATGACTTTTGCGGCATAAAAACTGACTTATAAAAATATGTTTATTTGTACTGAAAAAATAAATGTTTATCGTATTTACACAGTTCGTCATATTTGCTGAATGTCTCTATTAAATTAATTTAAAATTTTCCATTACTATTATATCAAATATTAAAATATATTAATTTTTTTTCAATACTTTACTATTTATATACATCTCCTAAAATGTAATTGGAAAAATAAACTAAGTATTTTATACGTAGAACGGATTTATTACCCAATATACAGTAATTGGTTAAAATAATAGAGAGCTGTAAATCCAAATGAGGCTTGCAATGGACTTATTTACTATATTTGTAAAAATTAAGAGGTAATAACAATAAAACGATTAGTTAATATAGCTGTAAATTGATTTTACCACTATATATATATATACATCAAAGTTTATGAGTTAATTGTAGAAATGATGAAAGCTAAAATTTTGATACCCAAAAAAGATAACGGTTGTTAAGTTGGAGCAAATCGGCCTATTCGGGTTCATCAACTAGATGGATTAAATTAAATAAATTTAGTAAATTTTCGCCTGATCTTCTAGAAGTTGTGATTTATTTAGGTTAATTTTGTATTTTTTAATGTTACTAATAAAGTTTAAAAATAATGATTTTAATTATTTTATTTGATTATCTTGTATTAAGATATTTAAATTATATTAAACTTTTCTAGTCAAGTTTTATTTAAAATAAAAATATATGTTTATTTTAAAATAAGATTTTGATAATTTTTTTTAATAATTACAAGGTTTAATTTTTTCTCAAAGATTTTTCTTAAAATCATATAGAAAATATTAACCCTAATTATAATAAGGAAAAATGTTTCTCCATTTATTAGAGATAAATTTTTTTTTTCAGTAAACTCAAAACGATGTCGTTTTAAGTTATAAGATTAAAAAATTATAATAATAAAGACTAATATAATTGTGGAACAAATTAAAACTACAAAAATACCTTTTGCTGACTCTCAAGATCACGATGTCATTTTAGATTCACCATATACATTAATGATGTCTTTTGGTTATAATAAGGAAAAAGTGTTTCTTTGGTCATTAAGGATAAAATCATCTCTAATAAAATCAAAATAATATTATTTTAAAATTATAAGGTTAAAAAATTATAATAATAAAAAACTAATATAACAGTAAAATAAATTAAAATTAGAAAGATACACAAATATTTTTCATTTTTGAATTGAAATAGCCAGCGAGCATGATCTCTTTTTAAGTTCCCGGTTAACTTGAATTGAAGTTAAAAATCCAAACCCTAGACAAAAACCTCCATGTACAGTTCCAGTTGCAGTTACAGCAACACTGATCCATGATCAGCTTCAACCTTCATTTGACAAATTAGGCATCGGAGCCAACGTCATTTAACTCTACTCAACTTGTCTTTTGTTGCACGCGCGCACACCAATCTTCTAAGCATTTCATCATACAAAAAGCAGACAGAGATTGAGGATGGCTGGGATTTTGAAACAGCCAGGTGCATTTGCAATCACGCCCCACAAAGTATCACTCTGCATACTCCTCAAGATCTACGCTCCGCCAGCTCAAATATCTGTACCCTTCCCTTTCTCTTCCGTTTCTCAGCACAATCGCCTTGGCTTGTTCCTGTTAGCCCTCACCAAGGTCCGCAGTTTTTCCTTTTCTTCTGGGCAAAGGATAATGCATTTGAATTTTGAGATTTTGTATTTGTAATTTAGAAGGGTGAGTGTATAAGCTAGTATAGTATAATTTGAATTTATCATATTTTGTGAGGAAATATTGTTGGGTTAGTTTTACCCATCTACTGTAAGTAAGCAACTTTTGTTAAACAATATTCGTTTTTGTTTTTTAACTTCTTTCATTGTCTATTTTCTAATACTGGGTAGTTTAGAGTTGGTCATTTTCTTGGCTTGATATCAAAATGGGTTTCTGACGGTGAAAGTTTGGTAATTGTTCTAATCAGTGTTGGATCATTAATTTTCTTAATACTGGTCGAAGATTTCTTGTTTGCTTGTCTTTTGAAAATATTGTTAAAAATGCAGTCCTGTGATGATATCTTGGAGCCAAAATTGGATGAACTCATCAATCAACTGAGAATGATGAGCCAGAACTGGGAGGCATCTTGGGTTATTGATCAGTTGATGAGTAGATTATCATCTCTGTCATCACCTGATGATTTGTTTAATTTTTTCAGTGATATACGAGGTGAGTTGATCATCATTAATGTTGCTAGCCTTCAGCTTCTTTGCATGCTTTATTTATTCTGATTCCTCCTTTTTTGTTTCTATTTTACTTGCAAGTTGCAACACAGCTGATTATTTCTTATTCATTAGATCGAGTTTTCATATTTATTGATATGAAAGTGTCATTGTTCAGGAATACTTGGGAGTCCTGATTCAGGTGCTGTTGAAGATGACCAGGTTATTTTGGACCTGAACAGTAACCTGGGGATATTTCTTCGTCGTTGTGTACTTGCTTTCAATTTGCTATCATTTGAGGTATGATGTTTTTCTACATTTTTTTGAATGCTTTAAATTGATCCAGGTTTGCTTGAATATTTATATGATCATTATCCACGTCAATAAAAAGTGGGAAAAGGTGCAACATTAGGCCTAGTAAGATGTTTTCTTTGAGGCCCCATGATATTGCTAGGTGCTAATAGTAAAGTCGTGTTCTCTAAACGATTTGCCTTTGAATGAGTTTACATTGATATTATTAAAATTCATGTGGTGGGAGCTCTGCCCCTGATGTCCTTTGTTTTCATCAACAGCAAGTTGCTATTAGGAGTTTAACATACAATTTTGAGTCTACGGTGAAAATATTTGTTCTTGAAACTAATAGACAATCTTCTTAGTGAATGTTCCCATGAAAAAAAATCTTTCGCTTCCTCTGTCTTATATGCTTAGTTTATGTGTGCAACTGCAAATTTTACTGTTCTTCTTCGAGTGAAATCTTATCCTCGTCGTAACCCCTTAATTTGAATGTCCAGGGTGTATGCCATCTCTTAACAAACATTGGGATCTATTGTAAAGAAGAATTCTCAAATTGTCCTCCTTTTGAAGAACCAAGTTTAGATGATTCTAGTAGTAATCTCGAGACATATTCAGAGTATGAGAACATGGAGCTGGAGAACTTTGTCTATGAAAAGGTTTCAGAAGAAACCGAAGCAACAAAGGAGGCTAGTGAAAGAGTTCCATTCCATCTTCATACACCCAACACACTTCTGAGTTTAGTTGATGGTATAAGCATCTAGCTTCATTTTTAGCTGCTCTTTTAGTGTTTTCTGTAGTTCTGTAAGAACTTGAAAGATTTGATAAAGACCAGGATTTTACCAATTAACTAAATCCCAGTTTTCTGTTTCAACACTTATTTTCCCTCAACTTTACTTTTGGGTTTCTCATGCTTTTGGATCCACTGTTTGAGACATTGATGTAACTGCACTTACAATGATGGAACTCACATGCACAGATATTGACGTGCCTGCTGATTCAGTATCCAAACAGAGTGAGAAAGTTAGAGTAGCTAGTCTGTATGGAGACCCTCCAAGTAACATGCCACGAGATATTGATTCCAGCGGTGCGGTATTTCTGCGCACAAACTGGCAGGTGCAAGGGTACTTACAAGAGCAAGCTGATACCCTTGAAAAGTATGCAACTTTTAGACCTTGAAATTCTCAGATTTTTTTTTTAATGAACTTGTAATACTGCAGTGCACATATATTAACTTTCAAATCTTATTTATGTTACAGGAATGGTAGTACTGTCTCTTTGAATGGGTTTGATATTATTCTACGGCAGCTACAAAAGTTGGCTCCTGAACTACATCGGGTAAGTTACAGTGATATAATTCTTTCTGGCATTTTTTGTTTTTATTATATTTTTTATTTTCATTAAAGATTGATTTGATTTTGAGTTTCGCCTCCATCCAGGTTCACTTTTTGAGTTACTTGAATGGTCTTGCTCATGATGATTATATTGCTGCTTTGGAGAATCTTCATTGCTATTTTGATTACAGGTAAATGAACTGTTAGTTCTTTATCAAGTCTCTCTGGCGGTATTGTTCAATGTTTGGTTTGTTACTGCTTCATTTGATGACTAAATACATATAAAACTAGTAGAAAGATGGCATCATTACGGTGTCTAATGCCCATCTTGTAGTATATCACACCCTTTAACAGGCAGTGGTGGAGAGCTTTATGTCATGATGTCCACAGGACAAATGGAGCCAATTTCACTATATATGGAAGAAGTATCTCCTTATCTCTTTGTCTCTATTGTATTAATTCACTAGTCAAACAATTGTGAAACATGGTCAAAATTCTCAAACTAGTAATGATGTTTTCAAGATCTATTCCAAGTCAATGACCTGTTAATTATCTTTCCTATTGCTAAAATTCATTTCATTTTGTTTGGGAACACTACGTATTATGCTTAAATTTTGTAGTCTATTAAATAGCTGCTGAAAATGTTAACTTTCCCCCTTGGATAAAATAAAATAAAATTGAGTTGCAATTTTCATAATTTTCGTTAGTTATTTTTTGTACTTTTTTTGTACTTTTTATGCTCCAATCTTAAATTTATTAATGCTGATGATTGTTAAATTTAGGACCTCTACAGATGCAATTGACATGTTTGACCTTTTCTTCATCTTTTAGCTTTTGTATTTTGCTGTGAATTATAAATCTTCTTTAAACCATACTTCTCATGAACGCATAGCCCCGGGTCTTGAGTGAATCAATAGCCAATAAAAAAGGATAGACCATAATCTTTTTTACACCTGAACTTACCTATTATTTGTTGGACAAAAGTGCAGGGACTGAAGGATTTGATTATATTCCTCCAGTTGGTAGTACCTTTGGAAGATATGAAATTGCTTTATTATGTTTGGGGATGATGCATTTTCACTTTGGTCATCCTAAACTGGCTTTAGAGGTAAGTTTTATGAACATTTTGATTTGGATCATTTTGGTAGTCTAGGTGGCTGAAGCCATAGGGCAGAGATAACATTTTGCTTCTCTGATATTTCCATTCTTTATTTTCTGCATTTTATGTTATTGCATTTTTATTTTTATTTTATTATTTTCTAGTTAAGTGGGAGGAGAGCCTAGAGCAGTGGGAGAGCTGCTCCCTTGTGACTTTCAGTCATGGGTTCGAATCCAGGAATCAGTCTTGTTCTTATCCCATCCTCACTAGTCAGGGTTTAACGGGGAGTGGATTTTTTATTTTTTTTTCTTGCAAGCAATTAGTCTCCATTGTTTTTAGGGTTTTATGTTTATCATTTAACATAATATAACTTCACTTTCCTACACACACATTAAAGAGGTGGGGTTCACATGTTTTTCTTTCTCTTTCATCATTCCACTTTCTCTCTCCCTTTTGATGTGAGAGTTGGAAACAACACTTACATCATGTTACATAACACTAATAAAACCCTTGTTTTTATTAATACAAACCAGTTCCTATCATTAAGCCAATATTTGTTCTACTATGTATTATTTTTTGGTGCAGTACTTATTTGTTTGGTTATCTTTAGGTTTTGACGGAAGCAGTTCATGTTTCTCAGCAGGTAATCATATAAAAGTAAGGTTGGTTTATTCAATAAAATTGCCAACTTGTATTCACCAATTAGTGCAAAACTTAAGCTGGCAGCAAATGTTTCCTTAGTGTATGCATTCTATGCTACTATGGGTACATGGCAAAATAAATAATGTCAGCAAACGTTGCCATTTAAACACAAATGTATCTTCCCTATATATTGGTTACATGTTTTGCTGTGAAGACTGACAGTTTTCATTTGTGCAGCAAAGTAATGATACCTGTCTTGCATACACTTTAGCAGCTATCTCAAACTTGCTGTCCGAAAATGGCATCTCAAGTACAGTTGGGATACTAGGATCGTCATGCTCGCCTTTTACAAGTATAGGTATTTCACTATCTGTTCAGCAACAATTGTTTGTTCTCTTAAGAGGTTCTTTGAAGAGAGCAGAAAATTTAAAGTTAAAACGGTTGGTGGCTTCCAATCATCTGGCAATGGCCAAATTTGACTTAACGGTAATGAGATTTTCTGACTACATTAAACATTCTCTTTGTACTGCTAGTACTTTTTCTTCATGAAACTGTACAAATGGTATATTCTTTGAATTTGATCCCTAAATTATAATGTATAATCTTTGCTGTGGCTTTAGTCTCTTAAAATATTCAATCTTCTAGTATATTGGCTTGTTGGTATAATATACAAGAGGTACAAATTGAGCATACTATGTAGCACTGGTCCATATCTTTTTACCTTGGTATTGGACACTCTTATGAGGCACATTCAACAGTTAGTGCCTCAATGTAAGCTTTTTGCAGATGATTCATTACAGACATGGTCGTATTTGATGAGTTGAGAGAAGGAATTAATTATAAACATGAGTTGCGGAGAGAAGCTTTGGAATCAAAAGGTTTTTGGTTAAATGAGTTGGACAGGTTATATGGTGTGCAAGTTCGGAAAGGAGTAACTTAGCAATGTTTTAAAGATGAAAATTAGGGATAACAACATATGTGAATTTGCATGGTTTAGGTATCATGAAATATGACACTAATTCTAATAAATTTTAGGATATCATTACTATTAAAGTTGAATCCCTAGTCCATGTGGCTAACAGTATATCATCTTTGTTTGTCTTATTTAAGTTGCTTCAAGCGCCATCAACTGAAATTGAATTAAATCTTAAGTCTTGTTAGTAGGTACTGACACTTAAGTTCATTGCAGCATGTTCAAAGGCCCTTGCTGTCATTTGGTCCAAAATCTTCCATGAAGCTGAGTACGTGCCCAGTTAACGTTTGCAAGGTAGTAGAAATCTTTGTGATTATTCTTTCGATGATGACAGTTACAGAACAAGAGAATCAGATTCTTTACCTAATACATTTTCTTCTTGTATGACTGGCAGGAACTGAGGTTAAGTTCTCATCTGATTAGTGATTTTAGCTCTGAGAGTTCTGCAATGACAATTGATGGTGCCTTTAGTACAGCTTGGCTTAGGAATTTACAAAAGCCAATGGGTTCTCTAGTTTTGTGTCAGGAGAATGGATCTGGTAGCAGTTCTAATGTTTCCCAATTCTGTGCACAACCAACCTCAATTCCTGGATCTGTATTGCAAGTATTGGGTTCATCTTATATACTTCGTGCAACTACATGGGAGTTATATGGCAGGTAAAGTTCCAATATGTGTTGTACATATAAAAACCACTCCCCTTTAAATCCCGACTAGCAAGGGTAGGGGTGAGTGCGATTCTTGTTCATAGCCTTACCTTTACATATCTATGCTTTACATATGCTTATATGAATTAAGGTCACGATAATTATTATTCTATCTTTTTTTTTTTTTAAGGAAAATGCCTATTGCCTACTAACAAACTAATATAATTTATCAACATTTCATTGATTAAAGGCTGACCTATTTAGTAAAAGAAAAAATATCTTGCTGTAATAAGCTAGCGATGCTTTTTTTCAATATCTTTTTCTTTTGCTTTTTTCAAAATGAGAGGCTAACTATCACAGGATTTTCATCCATGTGTCATTGTTCTGTTATGGTAAAACAGTAAAAGTAAATGACATTTGGTACCAACATCTCGTTCCCTTTGCAAGATAGATAGTTAGATTATTGTTCTGGATTTATTAGCTGCATAGGCCTTAACAATTGTTGGGAAAGATAATTGATGACAAGTATATATATATAGAGAGAGAGATAGATAGATAGATAGATAGATAGATAGATAGATAGATAGATAGATAGATAGATATGTGCATGTGTGTGTGTATAGAACTTATAGAAGAAGAGACAATTGGATTTATGCCAGCATTTATGTATGGCCGTATGGGTGAGGCTGAAGGTGCTAATGATGAAGGCAAAAGGTGAACAACAGTCATGGTTTGAATGAATTTTTGGAAATATAGGTATTTTTCTCATTCCTCATGCAGTCGCTTGTCCGTTGCAACCATTTTCTTGGATGGATCTCCGGTCAGATGATTTTCCTTCTCAGCAAACATTTTAATGGTCTTGTGCCATTCTGTGTGGTCCTTCCTATTAAGTGACTGTTTTGTCTTTTTGTGAAGCCAAAGTTAAAAAAAAAAAAAGTCATCCTCTTTAATAAAAGACAAAATACTAAGAGAGAAATTTAGACACACACAGACACACGTATATCTATGTAATGTTGTATTCTGAAAAAATTTAGCACTTATTGCTGTGCATACTCAAAGCAGTTTAGTTAGTATTAAGGCCTTTCCTACCGAACATGCAGAAACCAATTTTCACACTGAATAGTTTCTATTTCTGGATTTATTCTGGTGAATATGGTTTTTAAAAATAGCTAGATAAATCATAATGGGTACCCTAGTGACCATCGTGACCAAAATTCCTGAAGCCTTGATTATATTGTATATGTTTCCAGAATTGTGGTTTTAAATAATATAAAGCACGATGCATGTTTGCTCTTGCAGTTTTTACATGATTGTTTTGTTTTAAAATCTTTTCATCACTTCGGGGTGATGAAAGGTATAGTTCTTGTTACATATGCATATACAATGCTTATTTCCATGATTTTATAGTATCTTGAAAGTTTGCTGTATGGATTTCATAATCTGATTTTTTTTTTAAATTGCCATTAGTACTCCACTGGCGCGCATAAATGCTCTTGTGCATGCAACTTGCTTTGCTGATGCATCAAGGTAGCTTCTGAGCTGAATGTATTACAGATATCACATTTCAAGTTGCCAACTCTATATCTCCTTTGTTTTTTTTTTTTTCAAAAAACTGTATAACCACCTTTTCTTTTATTTTTTTTCTTGTGTTGACTTTGATCTTGGTTTCCCTAGCTCATCAGATGCAGCGTTAGCATATGTAAAGCTCATTCAACATTTAGCAGTCTTTAAAGGATACAAAGGTTAGATTGGTTGCATAAAATTGAATAGAATTCAGCCTATTTTTATATTTATTTTATTTTTCCAAATTTGCATTTATTTTGCCTTGTTTTGTACTTTTGTTAATAGTTTGTAAATCACTAGAGTAACTGTTAATGTATAATAATTGTTGAGATATATAGTCCCACATTGGTTGGATGAGCAACTAATGTGGCCTTTATAAGGCTTTGGGCACTCCCACCTTTTGAGCTAGCTTTTGGGGTGGTGTATCCCAAGGTTCTTTACATGGTATCAGAGCCTCGCCGCCTCCCACTTTCTCTTGTGGCGTTTCTTAGCACAGGTAGGCTGAGCTTGTTGCATTGTCCACTCTTCAAGCCCAATGGGCTCTCGTGTGAGGGGGCGTGTTGAGATATATAGTCCCACATTGGTTGGATGAGCAACTAATGTGGCCTTTATAAGGCTTTGGGCACTCCCACCCTTTGAGCTAGCTTTTGAGGTGGTGTATCCCAAGATTCTTTACAATAATATTAATAAAGTTCAACTTAATGGTAATTATTCATTGTTCACATTGCCTTTTATTAATATGGAATGGTCTCTTTCTTTTTTTCGTCATGGATGTAGATATAGCTTGAAAAGTCCCCTGTCACATACAGAAGTTCCTTTCGTACTTTCTTTCCCCCTTACTGTTCTGGTTTTTTCTTTTTCTCTGTTTCCAGAGGCTTTTTCTGCCCTTAAAATAGCTGAAGAGAAGTTTCTATCTGTCTCAAAATCACAAATTTTACTGCTGAAGTTGCAGCTGCTTCATGAGCATGCTTTACATCGGTAAGTAGCCTAGTTCAACAGTTGTATACATAATCTTACATTCTGTTAGCAGCTGAGATTTGAGCACTGTTAATAACTTAATTGAGCATCATGTAGTGGACGTTTAAAGCTAGCCCAGAAACTCTGTGATGAACTTGGTGTTTTGGCATCACCAGTAACCGGTGTAGATATGGAGCTAAAGACAGAAGCAAGCCTTCGCCAAGCTCGTACATTGCTTGCAGCAAATCAATTCCGAGAGGTTTTTTTTCCCTCTATGTAATAATAATATACTTTATATTGAAATTAATCATATGCTGTTCACAGTTTAATTCTTGCATGTATAGTGCATATGTAATTGTTGTTCTTTCATAGGAATCAATGGATCGTAACCTTTAAATATATTCCTTTTTAAAAGTATCCTTGTGGTATATCAATTGGTCAAAAGGTGTAGTGTTTGAAAATTTCAAATAAGCAGTGCTGTTGTCACTGGTGAGAACTAGTGTAAGATGTTACACTCATGAATCATAAGTATGACAATAAAAGAAAAGAAAAAGAATTTGTCAACACTTCCCCCAGAAACACCAATATGTGTTTTCCTAAAATAGTTTGTTTTTATTTGTATTGTTTCATTTGTGTAGGTTTCTCACCATGACAGTAGTGGGCACATAGATCATTGGTGAGAAGTGGTGAAGGATGTTACCCTTTTGTAAATAGGTTCTGTCCAACAAGAAGATATTCTTGTTGGCATGATTGATAAACCTGGCAATAAAAAATAAAGAAAAAGAAAAAGAATGTCAAAAGCACTGTTATTATATACGTGAGAAAATTGTTTCTCCAGTAATAGGAGATAAAGTTATCTCTTGCAACCTCAAAAGAATGTCGTTTTGGGGTTTAGGGGAAAAAATATATGGCGTTTTGGGAATATTACTTCTCTTTTGCATTATGAATTTTTCTAAAATGTTTGGCATCATTTTTAGCTAGGGTTGCAGGAGAAACACTATACCCTATATATATGTGTGTGTATGTGTATACACCTTTAATAATTTTCGTATAATAATTTTTTTTTTCAGGCAGCTACTGTGGCACACTCCCTCTTCTGCATGTGCTATAAATACAATTTGCAAGTTGAGAATGCTTCAGTTCTTCTTCTACTTGCCGAAATTCACAAGGTATGTCATCACACACTTGATAGTTATTGTAATCTGAATTAAGCTATTTTTCTTCTTGTTTGCTTTCTTTTCGGATAACACTATTTATTTACAAGTTATGCATGAGTTACAATTTGCTTCCAAGTGACACCCCCTCTCCATTTCATCATGCAGAAAATGTCATTGATTGTGATTAAGTTACATTACAGTAAGCTAAGCCAAGCCTCTACAAGATACAAAAATAAATAGAAAAAGATTATAAGAAATTTTATTAGCAAAAGTTTATGTGGATGTCTCTTTGTTCTTGTTTATAAGCGCTTATCAGCATCACTGTTTTGTTCAAGGGAAAATATTTGTCATGACTCATGACTAACTATGCGTATTTTTATTTCATTCTGGTTGTATGATGATCATCTTTTTCTTTTCTCTACTGTTTGTTTACTGTAAGGCCTTTTATATATTTGTTTTTATCAGAAATCAGGCAATGCGGTTCTAGGCCTTCCATATGCTTTAGCAAGCCTCTCATTCTGCCTATCATTTAATTTGGATCTTCTAAAAGCCTCAGCTACTCTTACTCTAGCTGAGCTGTGGCTCTCTCTTGGATCAAGCCATGCAACAAGGGCTCTGAACCTTATCCACGGAGCTTTCCCAATGATTCTTGGTCATGGTGGTTTGGAGCTCCGCTCACGGGCCTATATTGTTGAGGCAAAATGCTATCTATCAGATATAAACTTCAACGGTATGGTGCTGTCAGTTGTGTGTTAGACTATGCTATTTAAGTTTGTTGATGTCTACATATATGTAATATGTTTACATATGTTGTATTATTTCGATACCAATGTGTTTCTGATTCTATAAGAAATAATAACCAAGGAGGGGGAAAACTGTGTTAGAACTGCGTAACATGATTCAGATGGATTTGAGTGCTGAGACGGACATGGGACAGTTTTGACGCATTGAAAAGTTTTAATCTTTGTGATTATGTTTCATTGGAGGTTTGGGCAATAAAGAGTTTTGGCAATTTGAGGAGGGTGGTTGAATGCTTGTTGATAATAAATTATGTGGATTTAAGACATCTAAAAACTTGAATTTAAAATCTCTGAGAAGGGAGAAAAGCTACGGTTATGAAATAGTTAGAGGCCTAGTTTTTGGGGACGCTGCCTGGGCCTGTCAAGCATAAACAGTAATCAATACTGGATTACTCATTTTGGAGATTGGATTTAAGAGATGCAGGATTCCTAGCACATTTTCGTAGTAGTCTCTGGTTGTGCTGGCAGCTTGCTTTGTGTTGAATTTACTGCTAATTTCCATTCATCTTTTTGAAATAAAAGATTAAATTTCTCCCCTGATATGTGATTTTAAAAAGACTCTTTGATTTCATCATGTTGTTACACTGTTCCATGCTCTTTATGATAACATTACGACAATACCTTGGGCTTGGACAGATTTTGTTTTTTCTGAAAAAATAAAAGTTTTTAAAATTACGATGTGTTCGGAATTTTATTTTTTCTCTTCTCCTTTTTCCCCCCCACATTCCCCAATTGAAGAAAAGTTTTATGGTTTTCTTAGGGTTTAGTCCTTTTTCTCTTCTTTTCTCTCCATGTTGGGGCTTTAACTAAACCTTCTTTTGCTGATTTGAACTTCTTTTTCAGTCTCCGAAAATTACAAGATTGTGATAGATTCATTAAGGCAAGCATCTGAAGAACTCCAACTTTTGGAGGTAAGCAAACTTTCTGCGTTTTAATCTTGTGTGTAATTTTCCATTGCTCCTTTTTTATTTGAAAACGAGAGAAAATGGAGGAAAGTGAAGGAAAAGAGAGGGAGACAGCAGAGAGCAGAGAAATAGTCTCTAAATGACTGCATGCGCATATCGGATACGTTAGAAAAAAATATTCTGAGTATCGGTGCTTCATAGCTTAACAACTCCAGTCTTTCCTAACATACAAATCTGTTTTCATTACATTTTCTTTAAGATTTGATTTTCTTGTACGAAGTGGACAGAAACTGACCAATTGAAAGATATTTCAAATTACCAGTCAAATCCCCATAATTTCCATGTCTCGAGTAGTAATTGGTTAATTGCTCCTTCACTTGACGAGCATCCTTTTTTTATACTAAGTGCTGCGATTGTACTTGCATGAATATGTTATATGGTACTGGATTTCATTATTGCCATCATAAAAGGTACATACATCTTCTGTGGTCTGCAGTTTCATGAATTGGCGGCTGAAGCTTTCTATCTGATGGCTATGGTATATGACAAACTGGGGCAATTGGAGGAAAGGGAAGAAGCTGCTGCTTCATTTCAGAAGCATATATTGGCTCTCGACAATCCACAAGATCAGGATGATCCTTTTGTTAGTATGTTTTGAATGTACTAGATACCCAATTTTGTTTTATGGAAGCTTACCAAATCGTATACAATGCTGACCTCGGTACACTATAATCTGTAATTACCATTCAGTAATTTATAGCTGTAATCATTTTGTTTCCAATTGAGGTCTTTTAATGATAGATGGTGAAATTAGCCTAGATCCGATGGCATAAACCTTTAAGATTTTGTCCTATCCTCTCTTGACAGAGGACAACTGTTCAGGTAACATATTAATGACTACTATAGTACATAATGTTAGTTGCACACACCGTATTCAATACTTCTCACTTGCTTTTCTGCATGCTGCTAACATACTTCATCACACACTTCTTTTCTGGACGGTCTAAGATTCTATACTTATGTTGTACTTGGATTTTGATGTGCGGTTTTTTACTTTGGCACGAAGTGTTGGACAATGGACATGACATGAGCCCGGCTGCTTTTTCATTATTGTTTTAATGACATGAACTGAACATTTGACCCATTTATGGCAAAATTCAGAACTTTGTACTGAATTATAGTAAAATTAAAAGACTTACAAAATAAAACAGTGATAACTGATACACGAAGGGGGATTATGCATATTCAAACGTCAATGGGGTGTATGATTTATGCATGAGTGAACGAGGATATGCCACGTGATGCGTGCACGCGCGACTCGTATATGTCAAAATTTTGAGAATTTTTTTTTATTTTGTAATTTGGTATTAATGCAATAAAAATTTATGAAATTTTTATTATTCTGATAAAAAAAGGAATACTTTTAATTACTCAAGAGATAAGTATTATATACATATGTATTGTTTTTAATATAATAAATGTTATCGTTATCTCAAATGATAAAAAATAATTGCTAAAACGTAAGTTGAAAAATATTAATTATATCAGAACTATAATATTAAAAGCATTTATAGTTAAGTATTAATGATTTTTAAATGAGAAGCATAGCATAAGTACAAAAGCTAACGTGGATCTAGTTTCGGTCAGAGATTTACCGTTAACGTTGGACGCATGTACAGGTTCACTTAACTGGACCCCATCTTGGGTAAACAAACGTCTACGACTCTATGTATGATGATCCATCTCATTTCTTCCGTCAGTCAGTCATTGTCTTCTTCACTTCGTCGTCCTCATCCTCATCCACATCCATCCATCCATCCATGCCTTACGTAATGTATGTGTGCAATTGCAATCCACAACTTCACCCCGCCACTCCTTCACTCTCCTCCAATCATATTCCGCCACGCGTCATCCCAATGCAAATAACATCACTGCTACATAACAATATCATTAGCAACACCACAGCCAACAGCACCAAACTTAGCTCTCAGTCACCGCAACCGAATACCATGGGTAAGGAAACCGAAAACGCAGGAACCGGGTTCAAGCTGGTTGGTTTCAATAATTTCGTCCGAACCAACCCCAAATCAGACCGGTTCAAGGTCACCCGGTTCCACCACATCGAGTTCTGGTGCACCGACGCCACCAACGCCGCGCGTCGCTTCTCCTGGGGCCTTGGCATGCCTATTGTTGCTAAATCCGACCTCTCCACCGGCAACCTCACCCACGCCTCCTACCTCCTCCGCTCCGGCGACCTCTCCTTCCTCTTCTCTGCCCCTTACTCTCCCTCCATCTCCTCCTCCTCCGCCACATCAACCGCCGCAATCCCCACCTTCGACGCCTCCGCCTGCCTCGCCTTCGCCGCCGCCCACGGCCTCGCCGTTCGCGCCATCGCCGTCGAGGTAGACAACGCCGACGACGCCTTCGCCACCAGCGTCGCTCACGGCGCCCATCCCTCGTCTCCCCCGGTGGTTCTCGATAACCGCGTCGGACTCGCAGAGGTACGTCTCTACGGCGACGTCGTTTTGCGCTACGTCAGCTACAACGACTCATCTCACGTATCCGACCCGAACCCGAACCCGGGATCGTGGTTCCTACCCGGATTCGAACCCGTGGAGGAGCTCTCGTCGTACCCGTCGCTGGACTACGGGATCCGGCGGCTGGACCACGCCGTCGGGAACGTGCCGGAGCTTGCACCGACGGTGAATTACGTGAAAGGGTTCACGGGGTTTCACGAGTTCGCTGAGTTCACTGCGGAGGACGTGGGGACGAGTGAGAGCGGGTTGAACTCGGTGGTGCTGGCGAATAACGAGGAGATGGTGTTGCTGCCGTTGAACGAGCCTGTTTATGGAACAAAGAGGAAGAGCCAGATTGAGACGTATCTTGAGCACAACGTGGGTGCTGGTGTTCAACACCTTGCTCTTGTGTCCCGTGACATTTTCATGACTCTCAGAGAGATGAGGAAGCGAAGTGCTGTTGGTGGCTTTGAGTTCATGCCTTCTCCTCCACCCACCTATTACTGTAACCTCAAGAATCGTGTTGGTGATGTGTTGACCGATGACCAGATCAAACAGTGTGAGGAGCTTGGAATTTTGGTTGATAAAGATGACCAGGGTACCCTCCTTCAGATTTTCACTAAGCCTGTTGGAGACAGGTGATTCTTTCATTACTTAATTATTAATGTTCATATTATTACTAATATTTTCGAATGTTATTAACTATTAATATAGCAAGGAATCTCAATTGACGAGAGTATTTTGGTAATTAATTTATACATATAGGGATTGATTGAATGAATGACAATTCACAGTTGATTTGGTGAGTTGTGAAAATGCTCCTTGACTTGAATGCTTACTCCTCATTGGTTGTTTTTATCATCCTGTTTTGCATTGAATAGTTAAATATGATTTGTTTATTAATTATAAATTTACACTGTGTTGGAGGATGATGAATAGTTAAATATGATTTTGCATTGATTGGTTGCTTTTGGGTTTTTAAATGGGCAGGCCGACCATATTTATAGAGATAATACAGAGAATTGGATGCATGATGAAGGATGATGAAGGGAAAGTATATCAAAAGGGAGGATGTGGGGGTTTTGGGAAAGGCAACTTCTCGGAGCTTTTCAAATCCATTGAAGAATATGAGAAGACTTTGGAAACTAGAAGAGTTGCATGATGCAAGATGTCAGCATCTTGTTCATTGTGGTGCTTTCTCATGCCCAAGAGGTCATCTATTTATACTGCAATGTTAAAATACATTCATAGAATTTCATACCTGGAGTAGCTGGAGCCCTTCCATCAAGGTTGGCTGAGCCTACCTTCATTCAAAGGATTAATATGGAATTGATGTGGCATGGGGATGTTTATTTTCTGTATAATAGATACTATAATGGGAAGGAGAACTCTCCCTTATTTGAAATAAAAGAAAATCTCTTATTTCTATATTCTGGTTCCCCTATCAAAATCAAAGAAACGTTGCTAGATATTTTTCTTTTAAATGCTTTTTGGTATGATTATCTGGTATCTAAAATTAACTTCAGAACCTGACTAAATCGGACTCAAGACATGTGAACCGCTTGAGGCGCTATGTTATCTCAGCATCAATTTTTTCAAACTTACAGGCGTTAGTTCTTGTAAATACTTTAAGTCTACCTGGCTTGTGTTCTATATGATGGATGGAAGGCATCCCAAAATCTAAATTTATGAATGGACTGTGGGTTGCATAAGTAACTCATCTCAAATCTCCCCGTTGCACCATCAAAACCTGCCGATAAAGTCATAAAGACTCTATAATAACAGGTTGGTTGCATGCTTAATCATTCTACATAACAAAATAACCAAGTTAAAAAAAAGTTGTAATAAGAATAAAGAAAAGTAGGATACGCAGCAAACTGAAATTTGATGCGTTTAATGCCATCAAACAACAATGGCTTTCTAGGTTTAGTGATTCTGTATGGTATTCTGATGAAATGGTGTTCTTACATGGCTCAAATCTTTTTTTGTGTTGAATTCCGTTTTTAACCCAAAAGAAGATGAATAGTAACTAAAGCAACAAAGCAGATATAAAAATACTAGAATGATCCAATATAAACTTAAGAAAACGAGAAGGTTGTGTAATGATTTGCAGTATGATATTATATAATTTGCGTCAATAAATTGCAGAATAGGGAGCTCTATGTTCAGCTTTGCCACTAACCTACTCAATTTTCCATGGAATTCCAAAGCCAAGTCATTATTATATTCCTCCACACAACCAAGGAAGTCTAGTACATTTATGGTCCTCTCCAACGTTATTGTAGGCACCCGTCAGAGAAAATTTCCTTGCTTCAAGACCATAAAATTCCTTAGGGGCGTTTGGTACACGTCATTCTCCAGGATTCTCGGGAAACTGAATTTTTCTAAATTTTTAATTTTCGGATATTATTGTAAACTGAATGTAAAAATCATATTTTTAAAAATCGAGATTCCCAGACAAAATTTTTTTTTCTCCTGTACCAAACGTCCATTAAGAAAATTTTCAGCGAGTGCTATGAGAAACACTTGGAGAAAGTCACGACCATAAATTGCTCTTGGGAAATGGTTGGAATGAAGTTGTTGTTACCTGAATCCACTGAGGAGTCTCCAAATACTAATACTAACTTTGGCCACGCTTGATTTCAATTTCAACTAAGAAAAGCCACAATGTATAAATTATTGACATTCTACTTGGTCTTAAAAAGTTGGGGTGCTTGGGCTTGCCCCATATATGTACTAACAAAAAAAAAATTGGGGTGCTACCAAAGAGGACAGTGGGCTTGTGGTATTGACGGGAGAAGTAATAATGTATTCTCAGTCATGTTACTACAAGAAAAATAACAAAGTGGAGAAAAAAGTAAATACAAATAAAAAAAATTCCATTGCCGGGAATCGAACCCGGGTCTCCTGGGTGAAAGCCAGATATCCTAACCGCTGGACGACAATGGATGGCTATGTACCTGGGGACATAATAAAATATATAATCTTATTTTAATTATGATCGTGAAGTTATTTTTCTGCCTTGCTATTTTCATCATTCTGCGTGAAATATTCTATGGTAATATTTATTTTAAAAAAATCTGGTACAAATTTGCAGTACAAGTTTATTCTTATTTTTAAATTTTTATATTAAATTAAACTCACAAATTCACATTTGTGTAGAAACAACAAATGTGTCGACACCGTTGACTAATTCAGCAACAATGCTTAACCCAAATAAAAGAGTTGCATCCTGAAAATCTCAAATGGTAAGTGACTTTATAATTTTATTTTCAAACCTCATAATACTTTATAATTCTCATAGTTTATTAGCAGTTACATCTATAAAGATACTTTTCATTTATTATTTACTTATGAATTGTATTGTCTTATTGTATATCTCAAAGTTGTATGCATTTTTAACAAAATGCAAAGTAATTTGTTTTTATTTTCCAAAAATATTTGTAGGCTTATAACAAACCCACAAGAAGTTTGTTCAAGTCAAGTAACCAAACGAGGGAGAGAAGAGAACCAACATCATTTAATCGAACTTTTGCTATCGAAGGTTAATTTCATCCTAAACTACAGAGTTTTAACGATATTAGTTGAATATAAATAAAAAAATAAATATATATCATACAAGTTATTTACCCGGTGTTTTTTTTATGTCAATCTTCGTAGTGAAAAATTATCATTTTAAATTATTTTTTAGCAGGAAATCAACTTACAAGTTAAAATGAATCTTCTTGCATAAGACTTTTTATACAAGGAGGACATTCGCAACCATTGATTCATACGCATGCTATACAAGGTTTATTTGACATTCAGGGCCAATCTTTTTCTGATGTTGGACTATTCTTACCGAAGTCTGTTTTTACTCGTGGAAAACTATATATTACTGTTTTTAGAGTAAAATCTAGGAATAATTTAAATATTTTAATTTTAGATAAAAATGAAAATTCATATAAAAAAATAACAATCTTATTTATCAAGAAGTATCAAAAGATTTGAACTTTAATACATGAATCTTTAATCTTCTATTTAAATTTAATAACATTAATTACATTCATATTTATTTCAAAATTTAATTTTATGTATTTTACAATCATACTAACATGTAATAAAAATCATTCCATCAAAACTCTCTTGCATTGCACGGGTTAAAGTACTAATTATAAAATATATTCTAGATATATATATATATATATATATATATGTGTGTGTGTGACATCAAAAGTCGTAGGAGTGTTACGAGATCATCTTCTGTACATGTACATCTGTTATTCAACAAATGACATTTGGATAAGAAAAATATTTTTCTCTTTTTTCCATACAAACATGACAGTTATTCTTCATTTTTTATTGGATAGATGCACTATGTAAAAGTTTATTTTACATTGCTTACCAAAAAAAAAAAGTTTATTTTACATTAAAATAAGAATTATAATTATTAAAATATTTTTACAATTGTCTTATTCTTCTTTTATCCCTGAACGTTAATGTTTCCGAATTGATATCAATAAAATCAGATTGCAACTTAAGAAGTGGTTTAATGTTCTAGTAGTATAAAAAAAATCCACAATTTTTTTTGTCATTAATTCGTCTCTAAGTTATAGTTTTTAAGTATTAACCATGTCAATGTTTGCACCGAAAAATCATAGGGTAAATTTTCTTTTCCCGATATATTATCAAATTATAATATCATTCCCTCTATATTGAAAAAAAATACATATCTTTTTCTTGAGAAGTTAAAATGTGTTTCATTTAAGCCTAAATAAATCTCTTAACGATAGTTTTTCTCTTTCAGTATCATTGGCGATTAGTTTTAAGTTTTTAATATCAACTTTAGAAATTTAAAAACCAAAAATGAATATTTTGGTAAAATTCCAAAGCCGATAATAAAAGGTGTTCACAACTCTTTTTATTTTTTGTATCCTAGGGTGTTCACAACTTTATTTCATCTTTTAAAGTTTTTAAAATGTATACTATTTATGAATATTCAAAATAAAATGTCAATGACACGTGGAGTCATTAAGAGAGGAAAAATGTTCCGACAAAACTCGTTCATAATAATTTACTGTTGCTAAGAGGTTTGCTTATATTCAAATGAACTAAAATGTAATCTATTTTCATTTCTTTGAGGGAAGAAAGTATAATTTAACTTAAACCATATATTTAACAGGAAATGTTATATTTACAAACTTTTTGTTTATAAACTCTTACAAATTACACTATGTCTAACCCGTAATACATTCTTGAATAGAGTATTTCCTGTCAGACATAATGTAATTTGTAAATTTGTAAAAAAAAGTTTGTAAACAGATCATTTTCTATATTTCATATATAATTCAATAAATTTATACATAAAAGTAATTTTTATCTGTCTGGTTTTTATTTAAGGAAACATTTCTCCTAAATCAAATACCAGCAGAGGGTACCAGAAACAAGAAAGAAAAACATATGTACACAAGTCACGAGTGGCAGTGTTCGAAAATGACAACCATAAATACATTGCACCAAACTAAGATGCCCAAAGAAATACACGTAACACTTATCTTCTAGTAAATGGAGCAATCAAAGTCCCACCATTACCTATAGCAAGACCACAACCACACTATCTACCTTCTAGATATATGCCAAACATTAGAGGATTCCTTTGCCTTATAGCAATCAAAATCAACAGTCACGAACCTTCAAAAATAGTTAACAGTTTCTTTCTTGTCACTACCTGTGACTGATTAATGCCGTATTCTAATAGATAAGCACATTTATTTACACACATATATTTAGAATCTTCTCATCTTTTCTCATTTCCTTTTGGTGTTTCACGTTCCCTGCCCAAATTGTGTCAGCACTTGTTTCCGCAATATTAGGTAAATGTACTTTTCATGACATGGCACTTCACCACATATCTAAGTATATATATGCGTAACATATAATGTTATAAAACATGCAAAGATAAGATAACCTTTTTTATTTTGTGAACCAGTACTGTCCCAACTTCTCCCATTTTCCTTTGTTTCTTTTTCTCCCTCTTCCATATCTTGTTATTTTATGGCCTCATATGAGAACAATGATATGAGCTTAGGAGAAATGGATTTGGAGGTCTTTGAAATTGATGGAGCTCTCCTAAGAGAATTGTTAGAAGAACAAGAGGTGAAGGATGACAATGATCAAGGTAACATAGAAGGCGTAGTAGAGTCTCTAGAAGAAACCAATATTGATCCTAATATGATGGATAGGGAGCAAGAGCAGCGGAAGGAGAATTGTTTGGAGCAGTATCAGTGCCATTCTACTCATGAATTTGAGTGGATGAGTATGATGGAGCCAACTAATCCACTAAACGAAGTGATAATGAATTGGTTTTCGGATGACATTGTTGAGATGGTAGATTTTGGTTATGCTAATGGAGAATGTTACCCTCAAATTTACGATGGGCTTGTCTCCAATGAGGCAAGTTATGGTTGCTTGTGGGAAGATTGTAATATTTAGATGAATATTAAAGTTTAGCTACTATATATCTAAGTCTAGAATGAAGGGGGAGGGAAGAAAATAGGGGATGGGAAGTAGCTGAAGTGTGAAAGAATATGGTTTGCAATTCCTAAATTAAAGAGCATAATTATAGGTTAGCAGGACTACCTGTGTATCTGTCTTCTGAACGCTACTAGGGTCAAGTTATTATTAGAAGACAGAAGTGAAGGAAAATGATTTAAAATAATTAGTTTAAAGAGTCAGTTTCCAAATTATTTGCTGCATGTCTAGATTAACTATTCATTTATACTTTCATTTTTATTTTTTTTCTTCGTCTCTTTCGTTATATAATTTACATGCTAATTAAGAAGCGAGAATATTGCTTGGAAAGTACTAGTAAAATAGAGGGACAAAAATTAATGTGATATCCAGATTCATTGATAGAAAAGAGTCAAAGACAACGTAAGAAGTCACTTTTGATTCGGTCGTTTATGTAGAATAGCCTAAGACAAATCATAGCAAACCAATTATAGTGTAGCAGCAGGAAGTAAAATATAGCAGACATGTAGCTAGATTACCGGTGAACTGCGTAAATCCCCCACCAAGAATGTCATTCATTTGGGACAATATATCTATTACCATCCCCTGTGGTTATGTGTAATTGATATGTGATAGAGCTTGCCCACGATTATTCAACATCATTCATAGTTGGATTAATGCCTTTTTTTCTTTAGTTTGATCCCAGTTCAATGCCAATTTTTTTTTTTTTTTTTTTTTTTGGGTAGACAGTTCAATGCCACTTTTTAGTTTGACCAAATCAATCACGATTGAATCATTGAATTGTGAATTAAGTCTTTCGTTGATTTAATAAACAGTACGACTTTTAGAGTCTTCCTCGAAAACCTATTCCATCACACAGTGCATGTAAGCGTTTATTTGTGATCCAAACAACCCCTCAATGTTGTTATATAGGGTTCCATTTTAAATCAAATAAACATACCAAGCAGTTATTTTCTGGTTGTGTATAAATAGGGAGATGCTGTAGTATCCCAATTACAAGTACTTAAAAGATGAATTATCAAATATTTATTAGTTGTTAGACACAACAAATGCTTATAAATGAATCAAATGATTGACAACTTACCCTATGTACTACTGCTTGCGAAATAAAAAAAGAATATCAAATTAATTCCTGTATTTAAAGTTAATCATTCCTGTATTTAAACTTACCCGCCAAATTATGTTTTTCAGGATTTGAAACCTTTGAGTGCGACTCCCAATTCCAAGCCAAGCCGCGTCACATCAACAAATACAATTGAACTAATAAAACAAAAAGCCTCGGTAGTCTTTTTTCCAGGCCACTGACCAGATCAGTTTCAAACTATTGCTTCTATTCCATTACCCAATCGTGTTCTATAACTAGCATGGAGTTTGATTGGAGTGTTCACAAAATGAAAGGGTAAAGCCATACATGAGTACAGACGTAAAAATGAAGGCTATAATTAATTAGTGACATCACCAAAATAACAATATTTTGGAGGCAGACTCGCGTCTGACCAAAAGTATCTTCAACATTTTTCCTTTCTTCCGTAAAGTAAAAAACCGAAGCTGAGTCGAATTAACTCAAATGTAAGAAAATTCGCCGTCCATTCAGATTGTAACATGGAAATAAAGCAGTCATATTCATGCTTTCTGATTTCATAAATATATGTTTTATCGAATGGGGTCGCATGGGACCTCTCCAGACTGTTGCCAGAAGCCAATCTTGAAAAAAAAACTTAAATGGCTTCTTTCAGCGGCAATTCTGAAGCAAATATAGATCCAGACTAACCATCTCACGAATAGCTGTCAGATATCTTTGGACCCGACAACAAATTTAGCAATGAAAAATCCAATTGTATCAAGGGGAGATGATGGATCAAACCTCTGAACAAGGTCTTCCTCCCCAGGTCGTAACCACTCCCTGTATAGAAAAAATAAATAAGATGATGTCGTGGTACCAGAAATTGGCACTGAAATCAAATATTTTATTTTTTTTTGGATTAAGAAAAATACTAGCAACACATTGTTTGACACTTCTCAATATTGTCTCTGTTACGGATGAAATCTCATACTGGCCCCACTAATAAAGAGTAGGCCCAGGTTATTTAGTGGGACTAGCATCAAATTTTACCTAATAATAGAGAGATCGTAGAAAAGAGTGTCACAGAATATGTTATATGAAAGCTATATCCTCAGGAACAACTACAAATATTTTGTAAGTTAAATCTCAAACAACGCAGCCGCACAGATGAGTTAGAGAAATAGATGCACAATCACGGACAAATGGATGGAAGTACTTACTCTACATATCCATCAGGAAATTCACAGCTACCAACCAGACCAGGTCCTCCAATTCTTGGGTGCTGGAAATAATCAAGTAGCAAATCTGAATAACTCAACCGATTTATGTGAACTACTAATTCATAACAGGCAAGCTAAACATCAAAAATTTGTTTGTACTCAATACTTTTCTATCTTATAAGAACGTTTAAGAATCAACATTCGCTTAATTACATATATCAATCCAAAAATAATAATAATTCAGCCTTAGGATTATTGAAGCCTAATCAATTGAAATAATAAAATAGGAAACTGAGAAGGCAAAGAATTATCATCAAACCTGAGGCGCCAATGACAGGTATTTGTATTTATCCAAAGCATATCGAACTAATGCTTCATTCTCACCAGGATTAATCGTACAACTATCAAAAGACAATAGCATCATCAACAGAGCAGTTTTACAAAAACATGACAAATAAAATAGGTTAAAAAGAACTTCTGAAGACTCAATTCATATATAACATAATGGTTTGTATGCAACATATGGACACAACAAACTTCAAGATAATTCAAAAACAAATCTTTCTAAATCGTGTACGATGCTGACATGCTGTACCTACGGTTTTGGCTGGAACCCTGGAACAGAGTCCAAACAAGAAGCTTAGAGACTAAACAATAAAAGTATAAAACATATTTCAGACCATTACAAAATATTACACCAAGCAGCATTAGATATACACAGCAAATCAAAATTACCGACATTGACTGTGTAAGTAAAATATGCTTAAGACAGATTCTTTATAATCACAACTTCATAAGCAAAAGCCAAACATATAAATGTTTACACCTATAAAGAAGAAACTCCATTCAACCAGGAATCAATTCAATTGCAGATTCTGAGAGTATAAAATGAAGAGGGCAAGAGAAGTCGATATTGTATGATTATTTTTCCTACATATTACACCTACTAAGAAACTAGAATTTATAAACCAAAACAAGGTACGGGGCAGAAAACCTAACAAAGATGCTGCAGAGATTCATGATCACAGATTGTGATAGAAAACTCGTAACAATAAGCTTAAGTATGCACAGAGCAAAGTGATCAACAAAATGTGCATACTTACGTGGAGTAGACAATTACTCCACCTGGTCGAGCTAATTGAGCAGCCTGGTCAAACATCCTTCTCTGGTATTTTGCATGGTTTCTTAATGATTCAATTGTTTCCTGCCAAAAACAAGGCATTCAATGGTTACTAATATTTTCTTCAAAAAAATTATTTTTATCTTTTTTTTGTGTTTAAATTTCTTCTTCAATAAAAGAAGAACAATAACTAACTTAACCACCCAGACAGTGATAATGACTACACATTACACAGGTCAATCTATAATTCAAAAAGATTGACCAACTTCACTACACTTTCAGGGCAAGTAAATTTTAGTATAGAAGAAGTTGTTCCCAATCACATGATGAAACAGTCACTACTTCTGCACGTCCCTCTAGATAAGTTCAGGTATATGTTAAGATATACAGGCATTGGAATAGGTTATAGTAGTATACAACAATCCATGGTGTAAATTTAGCAAAGAAAAGTGAGGACTCCACTCCTACTTGAAGGTAAGCAGGTTCCCATTTCCTATCCATATTTGTATCAATGCATGTAAATTGGGCTGAGTGTGTGCGCATAAACTTAAGTAAATGCAGGATAAATTTCAATAGACAGATCCACTTTTACCACTCCAGCAAATAATCGAGGCCTTAAACCAAGGGCAGAACAGGGAGCATCAAGAAGAACTCTATCAAAACTGTCAGGAGAAAAGCCTTTTGTACTATCAACCCTCCCACCCACGCACTGATTTCTTCCAGGACCGTTTCGCATTCTTCGCATGTTCTTCCGGATGTCAGCTTTGCTTACATAAGCTCTTTCATGAGCCTTTTCACCTTTTCCTATTGTTAAATTATTTGAAAATGGATTTTTAAATTTTCAACAGATAAATAACATTCATGTCTATAACAAATATAAAACAGGAAAGAAGCAGCAGACCATAGCACAGAAGAAATCTGCCAACGGAAATCTAATAAATCTAATTACAAAGTCAACTTTTATCTCAGCAAGTATAATCTTTAACATCATTATTCAGATTCCAGAGCATTTTTTAACACTAAATAATGATAGTCTGATGATGGTCAGGCTATGTCAACCTTTAAGAAACCAACTACTAACAGAAGTGCATTTAAAATAACTAGAGTAAAAATAAACAGCATGCAACTCAGATAGACAAGATTCACAGTTTCTCCTTTTTGCTGATGCTTTTCTTTCTTTGTCTTATTTATCTCCATGAATTCTTCTTTTATCTTAAAAATATAAAAATAAGTTTCTCTGACGTTTTCATTTAGCAATGAAGGGAATTTGAAATAGTTCATAGAGGAAGTTCAGAGCAAATAATATTGTTAATGAAAAACAATGTTAGACAGGTAGAGTATGATTCAATGTATAATTCCTGTGTATTTGATAGTACAACTTTGGCACTGGATAAAATCTTGATGTTCATTTTCTAATAACATACAAAACTGATACGCATTCACTGAGCGCTCTCTCTCTTCTTTTTTACTACACAATGCCATAAATTCCTAGCGCATTAAGTGTTTCACATTCATCTAATGTATGAATAAAATATACAGACACAAAAAATTGTAGAGAAATATTAATAGGCCTGTTTAATGCTTTCTTTATGTGAAAAATGAAAATGCACCGAAACTCATCAAGTAGCAAATAAAGGAATAGAACTTACCCACCATTTTCCTCCAGAGTCTCAGTTTTTAACCTTTCTGCAATAATGGATGACATTCTTTCTACTTGCAAATTTGGTGAACCAAACACTTGATCTGTCACACCATTGTTGCCATTAATACAGCAAAGATCAGTAGAAGTATCCATCTCATTTCTGTGACGAACAGATTTAAGAGCATCCAATTTAAATGTCTTTATGCAACTCAAGCCCATTTCAGCTGCCAATTTCTGAATATCCAACACCTAGACAGGCATCAAAATTTGGTATGGTTAGAAACCATTAATTTATCACAATCATAAGGAACAAAACTAATACTCTGTATATAAAAAATGGGTGCCAGAAAGTTGGCAGAAAATTAAACCCCCAAAATGGAGGTCCTTAGGAAAATGAATTGCAAAATAGAACAATAATTAATGCAAGTACAACTATAATTCCAAAAATCCAGTCACTGTAAATATACTAGAGTTCAAACATGCAAATAGGAATGCCAAGCATTTTACTAGAGTTCGGAATTTCCACCTTGTTATGAGATCTATCAGTAGCAATGATCTCTCCTTTATCTTTCATAAGTATTGCAATTGCAGTTGTTTTCCCTCCAGGTGCAGCACACATGTCTAGTATCCGCTCACCCATTTGTGGATCTAAATATCACAAAATGAATCTATATAAAAAAATAATTAAGACAGAGAAAAAATTACAAGAGATCAGAGGATAAGGAATCCTCCTTAACAGAAGAACAAAACATAAAAAAGCAAAGAAAAAAGAAAAAGTCAATAGTGCAAAGTAAAACATCTATATTATCATTCAGATTTATCAATCACGTACTAGAAAAGCTTAAATTAGTTCGTCGCAAATGAGACCACAGCAAGACCTAGCCCCCGAGGATAAATTATTGATAAATGTCCATGATATAAAAGATGAAGCACTTCTCCCAGATAAAAATGTAACTTTTTATATAGGCAACCTAAATTAAAAAAACCAGAAAATGGTATACATTTTTTATATTTTTCAAAATATAAATGTTCAGACAAAGAAAATGTTGAAAAGAAAGGAATAAACTGGAAATAGGCCTATCTATGTTTACCTTTTTAAATCTACAATAAATAATTACCGTAAATACATATTTTTCAGATGGTCTCAGTGACTATAGACCTGGTATGAGACAAAAACTTGATAAAGAGTATAGTTTTTCTCTCGATAAAGTAAATTTCAGACAAATTATACAAAAGAAAAGTATATTGGCTCAAAAGATCTCTGAAATCCCTTTGCAAATCTGACATAGAACCACCCCTCCCCCACTAAAAGGCCATGGGCTGAGGCCCACATGGATTCCAGAAAAACACTCCATTCTATATGTCACTTCTCACAGTTGAGTTTTAATCCAGAGATCTTGCAGAAGAATGTAGGCAACAATACTTGAAAATCAATCTAGAGGAGGGAAATCAGAAATGAGACTGGGATTTATGTTGTACCTAAAGCATGAGCAGCAACGATGCTTGGAAGGTTTTGAAGAAATATTTCTCCCTCAAGCACATCTGGAAAACCAAAAGTAAACAATAATTTAGAAGCTATACACATGCATTCAAAACCATAAACAAATACATTTCACAAAACTAATTAATATATACAGAGAGAACAAAGATATTGCCGAAGGCCACCAAGGAGATGACCCAGGTGTTCTAAAATATACAGAGCAGAGAAAAAATACATAGACAAAGAACGAAAAAACAAATAAACTACTATTCAGAAAAAGACTACATGGTAAATCCCTGAGATAAATTTATCCAAGTCACACCAGATTCTGTCTGCCACACCTAGAATCTCAATCTGTTGGTTTCACTCAAGCTAACCACTTATTAAACAAGAAATCTTGTAAAATCTAACATTTCATACAATTAATCTTCTAAGATATGCATAGCAGATGCCAATTCTTATATTTGTCTTGAGCAATGGCAAAAAAGATCCATCATGAACACTTGTAAAAACTCCTAGAGAACCTATCATTGAAACAATATCTAATATACTTCACTAGCATTCCCAACTGCAAAATATAAAATGGAAAGTTGAGTATAGGATTCCAAAAGCAGAGAAACGGGTGTTAACACTCCCTCTTCATGAAAAATGCCATCCTTTGACTTCTCAAATTCCTTTGTCAACTCCATACTAAAGCAACCACCATTATTAGCACAAACTAATGAGATGATGCTAATCTTAAACTAATCGTGTATTGAAACCCATTAGATCACTTGTAAAGATGTCTTCACTGGCACACATTTATTGAAAAGGAAAATTAAAATAAAGTTAAACAAAGTTATGTTTAACCTTGTTTTGGCCAATTACATCTTACGAGCAAAATTTCGTAAGCTTCGAGCTAATTCAACTGCGGCCAAAAAAAAAAAAAAAGTAACTCAAACAAGCTTCAATATCTTATTCTGTTAAGCACAACTATGTGATTGAAAAGGGAAACAACAAAAAGGTATATATATTGAAATAAATAATGGAATGTATACTAAAAAGAAATAAAGCAAAATGAATATATTACAAGAGCATTAATTGTATGTGAAACTACTTCAGTATTTAAAATTCCTTTCAGACAAACATAAATTACAAAATATGAAGTGACAAAAGAAAGACTGAAATAATCAATATTGCCAAAAACAACAATATAGTATCCCACATAGATTAGAGATGAAATTTACTATGAAAAGAATGAAGTTCATAGACTCTATCCTTCATATCCACACCAACTCCTTCAGATACTCGGAACATTCCAGCCCTTGACATCATTGCTGTTCCTTGGCCAATACAAAGCCCATTTCGTTCAAAATAATATGGATCTGAAAAACCAAGAAAATAAAAAAAATCATATCAACCATTTCCAAGTTTACTTCAACAGAAGCAATTATCCTAAAAAAAAAAAAAGAACATCATGATTATAACGAAAACATCCTTTAAATAATTTCTAACAAGAATCTACTTATGTTTTACTATTTAAAACTTTATTTTGTCAATAAATAAAATTAAAAAAGGCTACCATGTCTCCTTGAATATACAATTTCATCTCCCTGATGGTTACATCCACGGTCCACCACCGTATAATTAATTATGTTTTTTTAAGGCTATGCAGTTTTGTATAAGAGTGCCAAAGTTTGAAAGAGAAATCTACCAAATTATCTCCAGAATTCAGACATAAATACATTCGCTACCTGTCTGTGATCCTTGGAGAACAGTACCACGTGTCATACCAATACCCCAACCCCCATCAGCACCCTGCTTCTCTACAGCGACCGAGACAGCCACTGTATCTCCTTTCTCAACATGAGCACTGCAAGCCATTACTCCCGGAACATATACCTAAAAATAAAACTAACATCATGAACAAATTAAAGACCATAAACTTTAAGATCCCTAAGATAGAAAACCAAATGCCCCACCCAATGCTGAAAAGTGAAATCTATTAAGTTATTAACCTGAGCCCCACGAAGAACTGCCTCAGCACATTTCCTACTAACAATGACCTCCTTGGGAGGTGCATTACCGTAATCAATGTGGTGAGGTCCCGAACCCCAAACAAACACCACATAATCCAAGCCAGGAATCTGACACTTTGAAAAAGGACCATTATCAGCATCTAAACACTCCTTCAAAGGATTAGCCTCATCATCTTCGGATTGGGCACTCGAATTCGATGATTCCTTCACGAGTGCGCGTAGCTTCTCAATAACAGCATCACTATTAGACCTGAGCGTGTTCACCCGAATACACGAGTAGCGAGAAGGGCGCCTGCAAATTCGAAAACTCAAAATCAAAAAAACACATCACATACATACTATAACCTCAGAAAAATGGAAACATAGGGTTCGAGAGATGCGTGAGCACGTTAAAGCGGTGGAGATGCAAGAGAAGCGATTAGCGCCAAAAGCTTTGAGGAAGTATTGGTGTAGTTGAGGATTCCATCGCAGCGAGGGATTGTAGGAATATCGATTTGAAGAATCAGAATCAGAATCAGAATGTTGCATTGTTTCCTGAAAATCAGTGGTGGCTATGGCAAGGTTAGGTGTTTGCTTAAGGGTTCTGCAACTGCTAAGTAACAATTCCCTCCCTTTCTTCATTCAACTGCTAGGGCTTCTAATCTAACCTCTTCTGCTGTATCTCTCTTTCTTGTAAAAAGTAATTAGTATAAATTAAAATGCATTTTTTTTTTATTTTATTGTCAAAAAAATATAACTATACAGTGACCACTGGATCTTTGACTAAAGAGTCAAACTGCAATTTACATGCTTCGGATGGAATATTGAAATTGATGTTCAAGATGTGAGTTTCCTGAGTCATGTGCCGTATGTGGGAGTTAATTGAAACTAGAGTCTATACATAGTTGGACAAAACAATTGGAAAATGATTGAAAGGAATTGTTACCAATAAAATAAAATAAGAATGATAATTTTGTTTTATTGAGCAAGTCTGATCTCAAATGATTTTATTGAAGAAATTTGATCTCTTGCGTAGAGTTTTTTTATTTATTTTTTCAAATAATTCTTCTAATTATCTTTACTTAAATATTTCAAGGTTTAAAAGACAATCTTAAAAATAACTACCTACTAACACTATATATGCTTCACTAATAAATATGATCTTTCTTTTAGGAAAATTAAAATTTAAATAACTATCCACCACTTAAACAATCCAACAATTCAGAAAATAATAAAAATAAAAAATCGTAACATTTCCTTCCTCTAGAAATAACTTTTGTCCTCCAGAGTAAATTCAACATCAAGTAATTGAATCATCTTCAATATTCGCATCTCCAAATCGCTTTCGTCCATCACTGCTTTGATCGAAAATAACTTCTTGTAACGATGACCAAGAGCAAAAATCTTGTTACTGCGAAAACAAAGCCCCTTTCATCGTCTATCGAAAGTTTCTTTGAAAGTCAATAGATAAATTGGATTAGTGTCGTTTCTGTTCTTGCCATGATTGGTTGAGGCTATGGAACATGCTGGTTTAGCATTAAAATTATTCGCCGAAAGATCTCCTCTTTGTCGTGTTAGCGTAGCTACCAAGACGTTCAATCGGTTGGAGAATTAGTTGAACATCTCCTTGAATTGCTCCGACAAAGTTTGGACAGCGTCTTCTAATTTATAAACGTGTTTGTCCATACTTGAGCTTTGATACCAATTGTTACAAATAAAATAAAAATATGAATTTAGCTTTATTGAGAAAGTCTTACCTTAAAGGCTTTATTGAGGAAGACTGACCTCTTGCACAGTATTTTTTTTTTTTTTGCTTTATTCCAAATAAGTATTATGATGATCTTTATTCAAATACTTAAAGATTTAAATAGATAAAATAAGACAACCTTAAAAATAACTATCACTAACATCAAATAGGCTCCACTAATAATTATGATCTAAATTGAAATTCAAATAATTACTTACTTACTTAAACAATTCAACAATTCATAAAATAATAAAAATAAAAAATCGTAACAGGAATGGAGTCTAATTTTGTTGATGAGGATGATAATTTCGTATTCAGTATTCACCCACCTTGTAAGATAAAATGAAAGGAAAGATGATATATTATAGTTTATGGATTGAGTTTGCTAACTATTTTAAATGATTGGGATGCATGAAGGGTGAATAGAGGTAATTTTATATTAATCATCAATTTTATATTATAGTTTAAATTATTGTCATGCAGCCTACGTATAGCTAGCAATTCGTTTTTTGAAGTCCAAGTAAAACGTTGAGTGCTTTCGCATACGAGGACTGAGCTTCATTATTCATGTTGGAGTGCTTGATTCTCGTTAGGTGTGAGAACAGACCTATCTATATATTTTATTTTATTTTTTTGGTGAAAACCTATCTATATATTTAGGATGAAAAAAGTGTGGGACTACATTGCCACTGATATTGATATGAGATACAGGATATGATACAATATGACATGTTGATATGTTAATTTTAAAAAATATTATATTTTGACATGTTAAGACACGTTTTGATATTAAATAATATTTTTAATATACATAATATAATTTATATTTAATACATATAATAGTCCATAATAAGTTATATAATCAATTAAATATTCGAAATTCATAACATAAATATAAATAAAAATAATTTTTCGTACCTTGTTAATTTTTTATGTCAAATTTCATAACAGAAAAAAATTGATTTATAAATTATTATTTTTTATGTTTAGTTAATAAAATAAAAGTAAGACTAAAAAAAAAATGGCGGATGCGTGTCGGAGCGTTGACTTCGTGTCGGAAAAATTTGACTGTGTGTCGAAAAGCTAATCGCGTGTCCCAAAATATTAATCGTGTGTCGAGATTTGTCAGAGCGTGTCAGTATCTAATATGTGTTCAACACGCATTTTTTACAAAAAAAAAAATTAGGTGTCCAGATATCACAGGCGTGGGAACAGACCTAACACTGCCTATTTTTTCTAGTTAAGTTAAATCTCTTATATTTTAACACATTACAAAACAAATATTGGCCAAAATTTTTTCACACAAATTCTCATCAAAGCGCGCGACTATAGTTGGTAATGATAATTTCTCGTTCAAGATTTTATATTTGAAATTGTTTTACATTCTACTATGAAACTGTAATGATTATAATATTTAATGGTGTTGATGTGTAACTTTCTGATGCATCTAAAGTGGTTGTATGTTGAGAATATCACAAATCATTTTATTATCTCTTGTTTGGAGAAAATTTTTGGTGCAATTGTGTAGGTACATTCTTATTATAAGTATATTTTTTAATAAAAAAATATGAGTTAAAATGAATTTATTTTTCTTTTTTTAGTAAAGGGGTATCGAACTCGGTACTCTATTAATATTAAAGAAATTTTCCTAATTTGATATCAAAACTAAACTCTTGGGAGAGACAAATAAAATGTCCATTTTATTTTACAATAAATGTGTTATAATGGGAATAAATAATATATTGAAATTTTATTTTATATTTTATATTTTATATATTTCAAAATAGGGATAGGTTATTGTGCCTACTCCTATTTTACTTACTTTTGCCTACTCCTCTCAATATCGTTGGATTACAATCTAATCCAACGATCCATATTTGTAAAATAAAATAAACCCTTCTACCTCCTTTCTCTCTCCTCCCCCTTCTCTCTTCTTACGCTATACCTAATTGAAATTTTTATGCCCTTCATCGTCGATGTCTGCCGCACTTGTAGCTGTGAATTTTGGTTAACGATCGATAATAAAAAACACAATTAGCCAACCCTGAATATACCAACGTACATTTACAATTTTGGGGATTATACGGCATCAATTGCGTGATTTCTAATTTCATAGTTTTGGGTAGATGGATTGACAGATTCTTGTTGCATTTAGTTGTAAATATCATTGCATTCTATGATTCAAACAATTTGTACCATGATTCAAACAATTTATGATTAAAAACAATTTGTTACTTAATTTACAGACCAACAGCGTTTCAAACAATTTGTTTTCCAGAGTAGACCAAGAATGGTGGTAATTATCAAACTTTTATCACACTGTGTCGTGCATTCTCTGCGGTAGTTCTGTTCTCAATTTGGGAACTCAGAAACATAAGGATAAGTACTATGATGGTATTGATAACTTTGTCGTCCAGGAAGAGAGAAAGGTAGTGGGAGGAGAGAAAAAGAAAGAAAAGGAGAAAAAATGTTTATTTTATATCGCAAATATAGATTGTTGGATTAGATTGTAATCGAACGGTGATGAAAGAGGTAGGCAAAGGTAAGCAAAATAGGAGTAGCCAGAATAACTTATCCCTTCAAAATAAAATAAATATTAAATCTTAGGCGTCAAACTCTACTTTTATTTTGTAAAATACATCAAACCTTTATTGAGCATTACTTTTTAATAGTATATAATTTTTTAAAAAATATAAATAAAGATTTTTTCAAGGTCCTATTGGATTTAACAAGAAAAAAGAGAGTAGAAATGTGAAAGATATCCAACTATCACCGTAAAACCTTGTTTTCTGATAAAATTATAGTTTAGTTGTCTTTTCCCGGTGACAAATAATGATTTTATCAATATAGAATAAACCTTCCGTACAAAACTTAGACAATCAATTTGATGCGCTCCCAAAAGAGTGAAACAAATTCTACAGCATTCATATTAATCTCATAAAATAAAATAATAGCTTAATCCAAATTAAGTATAAAAGACAAATTTTATTTTTTAAAATGATAAAACAAAAAAGGGTTTTCGTTTTATCCTTTAACATAACACAACAAACTTTCCTACACTCACAGCATTTTGTGGGGCCCACACTTTTTAAAACAAAAAAATAAATAAAAAATTAAGGCACGCAAAACAAATCTCTATAACATTCCACAATCATTTTTCCTACAACATAACTCTTATAAAACCCAACAAAAAATTGAGAACCGATTGAATAGTAGGATACCGATGCTTCATTGCTCCGCACTTTGCCTCGCTTCAGCCACATATCTATTGGGTGTAGTTTGCTGGATTAAATTTTAACAAATTATATTTATTATATAATTATATAATGAATTATAATTTAGTTCGATTTAAAATTATAATTTAATTTGGGTTATAATTTATAATTTGGCCCTATTTAAAATTTAAAATATTTTTGGTAAGAGATTTAAGTAAGTTGTATTAGGTTATGTGTTCAATTTCTACTTGTATAAAAAAAAAATAGGAAAATTAATTTTTTTTAATAAAATTACAATTCTTCTTAGTACTACCTGCTCAGATGCTCTAGATTTAATATAATTTAAATAGGGAGGGTTATATTTACAAACTTTTTGTTTATAAGCTCTTACAAATTACACTATGTAGTCTCATAAAATTACAATATATATTTTCCGGAGTATATAGTATAGATTGCAAAAAAATTTAAAAAATATTTGTAAATCCTTTCTCAATTTAAATATATTATGATATGAACTAATTAAAATTAAAAAAAATAAATACACGTATAATTTTTTGCCCGCTCAAATTCCGGCTCCGCCACTGCCTCGCTTCATATATATGTCTATATATTAACTTAATAAATATTATTTTATGCTATATTTTGTGGAGAAGTATTCATAAATTTTTTTTATCACTTTTTACAATTAAGTGATAAAAAAAATTTATTATCACTATATTAAAATTAAATCAATGATTACAAAAATGACCTCATATGAGAGTTATTAATTTGATTTTAATCAAATCATATAAAGTGATTATAAGAAGCGATGAATATAACATATCCCGTGTTTTATACAGGATTTTGTATGGAATGCTGTAATTATTTTTTATATGAGTTATCAAAATATTATTCGAGGATGTATAAATTTTTGTTATGACATATACAACTCTTATTATAATAAATTAATAATCATAGCTTGTACTATATTAATATACAACACTCCAACTAATACAACTGTACAAGTAATTCAATAAAGGTTGCACAACAGCACAAGCAAGTAGCAACCATCACTATTTTAAGTCACGAGTACAAATAGAAAAGACGTTGATTGAACAATTAGGTTTCTTTTATTTCTTCACGGAAAGCGTCACTAGTGAAAGGATATTACCTGCATATTTTTATTTTTTATTAAGAAACTATTATAAGTTGTTTGCCACTCAAACCTAGTGATGCCTCAAAATATCGAAGCATCTTCTTAATTCCTTCAAAAACTTGGAAATTGTATTTTTTATTTTTTATTTTGGAAGTACGAAAGTATCACGTGGAAGAAAGAGTAGTACACGGTAAAATCCAAGAAGCAGGATATATAACACAAAGTAGGGGTGTTCACCAACCGATTCAAACCGCGGTAACCGAATCGAAAAATCGATAACCGAATAAACCGAAAATCGAAAAATCGAAAACAAAAAAAAAAACCGCAAATGTGAATTGGATTGGATCGGTTTTTGGATGGGTTGATGAAAACCGATCCAATCCAAACCGATCCAATATATTAATTTCCCTCTACCTATTTGGGTTTTTCCCTAATCATAGCCCAAAAATTTCTAATCCCAAGACCCATTAATCCATCAACTAAACCCAAGAAAAAATCTAGTCACATCTCAGCAATAAAATTTTATCTTTATAAACCTTCATATCTCATTGCCCAAAAAAAAAATTATATTATAGTTTACTAATGCTTTTGTATTTCAAAAAAAAAAAATTACAAAGCCAATACATACAAAGATGTAATTTGCACAATAATCAAGAAATAAATTTTGGAATTTTCAAAAAACCGAAAACCGATCCAATCCAAACCGAAAAAAATTGGATTGGATCGGATCGGATTTGAAAAAAAATCCAAACCGAATGGATGATTATATGATTAAACTGAAAGGATTGGATCAGATGATTTTTGCTTCCAAAACCGATCCAATCCAGACCGCGAACACCCCTAGCACAAAGCATGAAAAAAATATTTAGTAATAAAAAATGAAAAATATTTTTCTTATAGGAAAATAGTTACTTTATGTTATATAAATAAAATTACAAGTGAGACAACCCACAAGTAAGATAAAAGAGAAAAAAGAATAATGAGACTCAATCTTTTGTTTGTGTGTAAGAAAGCTATTTATGTCATGTAAAATGAGATAAACTCAAGAAGAATTTTGTGAAGGACAACTTAAAGAAAACCCACTTTTACATATCATCCACCAGACAATGGCCTCACATCAAGCAGAGAAAATCGAAACCACAAGTGCAACCGCTTGTTGGCAAAGCATGAGAACTTGAATGAAAGAGTTCTATATAACTTTCAAAGTACTGTACTCTACCCCGTGAAAAGGAGAGAAAGCTAATCAATTTGATGTTAATTGTGGGAACTAACAAATCGCGGTGTCCAAGGAATGAGACCTAAAATGTTGCACCGAGCTGTTTTTTTTTAACTATAACACAGATTTTATGCACCGTTATACCGCCTGCAATTCTGGGCATGTATGTTCGCATCAAATTTCAACAACACTGCTCATTTTTCTATGATCTCAAAGTTCATTCACACTAAATGCCTAGTGATTGAGATTTCTGGATCCCAAACAAAGAGTTCGAGGGTGGAAGTCATTGTTGAACGTTACAATACCAAGATCACGTATTCCATTGTTCCTTTCTCACGTGGTCCAACAAAACGCTTGCCTCGTGGTGCAATCAGTATATACTAAAAGATAAATATATCACATCAGAATTTTTTCCCACTTTTTTATTCTGAATGCTTGCCTTTAGTCACTGATTTAATAGAAATAAATATAGTATTTTAGTGAAGACACAATAGTAAAAAAAAAAAAGTATTGCTTATGAAAATGCGATATAAAAGGGTGATGCATGGACAATATATTCAATTGAATCTCCTTTTGTTAGAAGAGTTATTTGGTTGGATTAGGTAGACACTGTTTGTCGGCCATAGATGCAAATAAGTAAATAAACTTTTGGAAATTTTTTTTATCCTTTTAAGGAGGTTATTTTAATTAAAACTAATATTTTTTATTTAAAATTTAAATTTAAAAAATATTTTTTCCCATAATTTTCATTATGTATTTTTTTCTCATTTAAAAAGACATAATTTTATTTACAAAAAAATATATATAATTTTATATCTTTTAAAAGAATATACACCAAACCCATAAAACTTTTAACTAAAGTTGATGTGACATATATATTTAGTTGTTTAAGGGTTATATGATATTCAAGTTCAACTACATAGGCAGAGAAGATTCTTATAACTTAGTCAGAGTTGTGTTTGTTAAGTTAATTAAGGATTCACATTATATTATTTCACATTAAATAAATTAAATTTTGCATGAACTTTGCCTTACATATATTAAGAGTGGATTTGAAAAGTTACGTTTGAAAGTTTTCACCTAAATTATTTTTATAAATTTATGCACAAGGCAACTAATTTATATAAAAGTAAGGATCTTTTTTAATGAGTGTTCGTATCAGTTAAGGAAAAAATAAAATAAAAGGTTTTAAGTTTTCAACATATTAGGTCTGAATAAAGTATATGGTTTTAATTTTTTTAATTCACAACTTTCAATAATTAAATTTAGGGAAAAAATTATTTAGGATGTAATAATTAAACTTATTTAATGATTTGATATTACATATTTGACGAAGATATTAAAAAGTTATATAGCACATTAAAATTAAAATTAAATTTGGTGTTTGAAAGAGTTTAATGTTTCGTATGAGATAAATTTTATTTCTTATACATACATAAAAATATACAACACTCCTGTTTTCTCAATTTTTTTTTTTCTTTTTCTCATATTGGTTCACTTGGATCTCGTATACTTTTATGTGTATAAGAGATAATGAGAAATATTAATCCCAATTTAAAAATATCGTTGACATAGTATCACCGACCTTTTAAAATTAAACTGTAAAAATAAAAAAACATAAATAACGATAATGATCTCATACTCATAAATCACTTTGATTTTTAGCCTTTGTATAATTCTTTTCCACTTTCCAGCGTGTAGTTTTAGCATTCGTATAATGGTTTTCATTATTGTAGTCACGCTGGAGGATTTGTTTTTCTCTTCTATTTTCCATTCAGAAGTAGGAAAGACTTGTTCAAAATCTCTGACCAGCGACCAATAAAGTTGTATTTGTGCAAATGCGTGATTTGTTTGGTCCAAAGGGACAACATGCCTTTGACTTTTTGTATATAGATGTAGGTAAGCTTGGTAAGTGTAAAATGTGTGATATAATCACAAGCCAATGAAGCAGGAAACAGAGAGGAAAATCACTTGTAAGAACAAGACCAGGTATTACTATTATTATCTTACATTGATGCTGGGCATTAAATATGGTTTTTAAGCGATCTCTTGAATTGAAAGTATATTATTAATCTTTAGAGATAAAAGATTAAAGCTTTATTACTAATCAAACCGCGTTTTTGGGCTCTGCCTCTTTGACATTTTGCTTCAAAGTCTTTCTCATTCATGGTTACTAATAAAGTCACACATCTCAAAGTTTAGAGTCACTTTGTAACCTTTTCATTCTTTCTGCCTTCTCTCACCATTTTTTCCTCCAAAAATTATTTCCCATTTGCTAAACGAGCATCTTAACCTCAAAAGTTCACATTTTTTTATTTTTATTTATTTATTTCGAGTTACTTTGCCAATCCCCATCTCAATTCATTTTTCCTCAAACCTTGATTTTTTTTTTTTTTTTTTTTTTTATGTTTTTGCTCTTTACTCTTTCTGAGTTTGTGTCCCAGATTTTATCCCTAAAATTCTGTAAGGTGCTTGATTTAGGATATTCTTTGGCTCCAAGAAAGAAGATATCATAACTATGGCTTTTAAGGTTTCTCTCATTCTGGTTCTCCTTGTAATATGCTCCTGTGTTGTGGAATCCGTTTCTGGGAATCACATTCATAGTAGTCCCAACAAGAATGGATCTTCTCTGGCTGGCATAAAATTTCCTGATCATCCAAGTTATGGTGCTGTCTCTTCTTCTGGGGACACTGGTTGTAGCTTCTCAGGTACAGAGACTGATGACGATGAAGGTGATAGTGAAGGTGAGGCTTTTCTAGCAGCAAAACCACACAAGCAACCGGTGAAACTCCATTTGAAACACCGGTCAGTGAGCAAAGATGATGAGCCTAAAAAATCTGTGATTGATTTCACAGTAAGGGATTTCACCAGAATTCAGACTCTTCATAGGAGGGTCATAGAAAAGAAGAATCAAAACACAATTTCAAGGTTTCAAAAACAACAGGAACAGTCAAAGCAGTCCTACAAGCCAGTGGTTCCTCCGGCGGCTTCACCGGAATATTTTGCCGGTGGACGTTCCAGCCAGCTTGTGGCAACCTTGGAATCCGGGGTTAGTCTTGGCTCTGGTGAGTACTTCATGGATGTGTTTGTGGGTACACCTCCAAGGCATTTTTCTCTAATACTTGATACTGGTAGTGACCTTAATTGGATTCAATGTGTTCCTTGCATTGCTTGTTTTGAGCAAAGTGGGCCATATTATGATCCTAAAGATTCTACTTCTTTTAAGAATATAAGCTGTGATGATCCTCGGTGCCAATTGGTTTCATCCCCGGATCCACCTAAGCCTTGCAAGGTTGAGAATCAGAGTTGTCCCTACTTTTACTGGTATGGGGATAGTTCCAATACAACCGGGGATTTCGCACTTGAGACTTTTACTGTTAATCTTACAACGCCTAATGGGAAGTCCGAGTTCAAGCGTGTGGAGAATGTGATGTTTGGTTGTGGTCATTGGAATAGAGGTCTATTTCATGGTGCTGCTGGTTTGCTAGGATTGGGGAGAGGATCATTGTCATTTGCTTCTCAGCTGCAATCTCTTTATGGTGGTTCCTTTTCCTATTGTCTTGTGGAGAGGAATAGCAATACAAGTGTCAGCAGCAAATTGATCTTTGGTGAGGACAAGGAACTGCTTAGCCACCCCAATTTGAATTTCACTTCTTTTGTTGTTGGGAAAGAGAACCAGGTTGATACATTTTACTATGTTCAGATAAAATCTGTCATGGTTGATGATGAGGTACTAAAGATACCAGAGGAGACTTGGCTTTTGTCACCAGAAGGTGCTGGTGGTACAATAATTGATTCTGGTACCACTCTAACTTATTTTGCTGACCCTGCTTATGAGATTATCAAGGAGTCTTTTATGAAGAAAATTAAGGGCTATTCACTTGTTGAAGGCCTTCATCCTCTAAAGCCATGTTATAATGTATCTGGATTTGAAAAGATTGAGCTACCTGACTTTGGAATCTTGTTTGCTGATGGAGCAGTGTGGAATTTTCCAGTAGAGAATTACTTTATCCAGATTGAGCCAGATGTCGTTTGTTTGGCTATTTTGGGAACTCCTAGATCTGCCCTTTCAATAATTGGAAACTATCAGCAGCAGAATTTTCACATACTGTATGACATGAAGAAATCCAGACTTGGGTATGCACCAATGAAGTGTGCTGACGTTTAACATTTTGTTAGGTTCAATTGTGTATAGTCTTATAATTGTAAACATGGTGTCATTGAGGGGTTTGATTTTTGGGTTTTCCCTTAGATGGAAAGTGTATACACAGAAAAAGAAAGAAATAAAAGAAAGATCAGGTTATGTTTTTCAGGTGATTGTAGAACTAGGCTTCTAGTAATTACAGAACTGGGTCATGACAAACACAAACATTTGTTTTGTACACATTTTAACTGCTTCAATTTTGAGTTTATTGTCTCATTTAATTTTTAATAATTTTATCTTTCAATTATATATGATATTCTCTCTGAGTATCATGCTGGACCTGCTATTGCCTATTGTTTTATATATTCTCAAAGGAAAATGCCTCATATACACAAGAAATAAATAAACTAGTATCCTGAGTCTCTAAAATCTAAATCAAGGGGGCACTAAACAGTTTATGGTTTTCTGCAACATTTGTTACTGTTATACTTTCTCGTGGACCATTTCCTTTAAAATTTGTACTTTTTTTCCCCCATTAAAAATACTCCTGTGGTTGTTTACAGATGTCGCATCAATGTATTTTTAATGGCTTATCAGTTTGGTATACTTCAAACTTTTTTAACATAAATAAAGAACAAATGCATGCCAACAAAGAATAGGTCAACTCTATTGCTAGTAGTCTCGGTATCGTACATTTTGCCATCATTTTATAATGGATTTGGTAATTTGAAAGAAATCTAAACTGATAACCCATTCATTCTTTGAAAGTTTATTTGATAGAATCTTGGTCATGACCTTCTTCTCTTTGTGAGAGGCTTTTCTTCTTACTATGGGATTCTAGTAAAAAGTAATGTTTAAAGGAAGCTCCAAAGGAATAGCTCTATCTGTATAAATTTCGATATAAACTTTTATTTAGATGACTACAACTACAAGTGTATGACTGTTGTCCTTTGTGAACTGGTATGTATACATAAACATAAAATATGCAGTTTGCCCCGTCCCATAAATGCTCTGTTGTATTTGTTTTTCATTATTAGTTTTTTCACTATAATGTGTCAGTTTCAATTATGAGGCCTATATTTAAATTTTACATTTAATTGGTCTTCTTTGACTACCAGCTTGCATATGTTCATATTCCTCCTTCAATGTCCTAACATCAAAAGTATGGTTGATTCAAACATAGGCCGTAGATATGAAGCTCATATTAATTTTGAACTCCGAGACCCATGTTTCATCCATGAATATTGCGTTGAGTGAGACATCAATTATATAGATTAACTTATCTTTATTTTTCATGTATTTATCTGAACGAAAAGTTGTTCTGTGTGACAAAATATAACGACCTTTATACACTTTAGAAGTTTACATTTAAAAGTTTGGATTGACAAATCATTATTGCATGTAAGATATATATACACACAATCACTCTGCATTTGCGAGTACCAACACAATCACTCACACAATAAAAAATAGGGAGGAAAAAAAAAAAACGTGAGACACGATTTATCTTAAGACTATGTCCAGTAAATTTGTTGTTATATTCTTTCACCACACTTATTACTGTACATAGTTACGAGAAAAAATAAACAGACTTAAAAATTTCTTAATGACATCAATTATTCATAGATCCAAATTCAAGGTCCAAATGGCCTCTATAAGTCATACTTTTTTAACATGATTAGATGCAAAGTAAAAAATCTTATTCAACATGACTTACTTGCATTCTCTTATATCTATACATATTTATTTTATATTATATATTTATAGTCTGATTTTGGTGCATATTCAGCAAGAGATGCATTCATCACAAATGTGTAAAAAGCGTTTTAGTGGAATATACATGTATGCAAGTGGCAGTCTAATCGTGGTGGATGCGAGGTTGGCAAGTCCATTGAATAAGAGCGCGTTGTCCGCTTACGTTGGTGTTGTGTGGACTGTCCGCGTCCATCGAAGTTGAACAATGAATAGACATTGGCGTGGGGAAAAATATTTTAATTTGAATTTTTTTATATGACATAATTATTTGAAAAGAGAGATAAGTATAAATATTTTTTTTCATGATTTTATAAATTCCGTTTATAAGGATTTTAATTAATCTGAATGACAAGAGTAGTAGTAAAATTAATCTCACATCAATGCTTAAAAAATTTCCAACAAAAAAATTTAACATGAAGTGTTAACTTGTAACTATAATAAATGTGTTAAATTGAAATTATAAAGATTAAATATGATAATAAATAAATCACACTTGTGGAGAAAAAGAGTAAAATTTTAATCCTAAATAAGGGCATAAGGTGGTTGTTATGAGAAAAATTTAATAATGATAATTTTTGTGGAATTAATTTCTAACAATTTTTTTATATAAAAAAATGTTAGATTATAAATTCTACTATTTATTTTCCAAGAGTTCAATGAATGATGATACATATAGAATAACAAAATTATTTTTAAGAAAAAAAAAACAATTAACAAAATATTTCAACTGGGTTTATGGAGAGTGTTTGAGCACCATTGGAATTGGGCCGAATCAAATGGGCTTTGGATGGCACCACCCTTGGAAATTAGGGTTTTACATATATGACTCTTTGTTCGTAGCAGTGCCATTGACGGTGGCAATGGGAATCGGTGGAATTAGTGTGTTGAGGGTGGTGGGTGATGGTTATGGTAGTGGTCATAGGGTTTTTTTTTTTTTTTTTAACTGATTCATTTTAGTTTTGAGATTGAGTTTGTGAATTTTATTGTAATGTAGTTGTGGTTGAAACAGTTTCACAAGTACTAGGTGGTGGGGAGAGCTCTTCCGACCGAAACCGATGAGCACCCGAAGATCTACCGAATGAAGCTACGGATTTTTTCTTTCTCATGAGCTCATTTTTTACACCCACATAATAGACACCGGTTCTATCTCCAAGAGTGATAATGTATCCAGAAGAATAACTATATACTGATGCAGCCCTCGTCAATATGTTGTCACTGTTGTTCTCTGCTCCATATCTACAGCAATCCTCATAAAGTTTTGTTCCTATCTACCATGGGTTTTATTGATGAGGATTTACTCGCAAATTGTAAGTCAATAAACAAAACTGGAGCTAGTTCTAATTCCAAAACACATGCTATCATGACTTGTCAGATCAGAGTACTCAATTTGCACCAAAAAAGAAACAAAAACTAATTTTCACCTGCTTCAATATGCTTAAAAGTTAAAACCTATAGCTTTAAATGTTTCTGCTGCTTTAACAATTTCTTTTTGGATGTCCTGGATCATAAGACAGTTTCACGCACATCAATAAACAGGACCAACAGAAAATTCAAATAATTGAAGATAAAATTTCTTTTACAAAATTTTTTATAATAACTTCCAATACAAGTATGGTTCAGAAAGGTTACAGAGTCCTGTTTAAAAACTCCCCCTTCAAATTATATGGTCCCTCCCTCTCTCACTGCCTCACTTAAGGTTAAGCTCATTGGTAGACCTTTCATGACTAAGGTGAATTCCAGTAGAAACAAGGTCCGATGCAGGAAATCAATGCTTAGAGGTAAGAGTGATGCAATGAGGAAATCATTGATGATAACCCCCATGCAGTTTATTTTTTGTAAAGGGTATTTTTTTTTTTTAGTTTATACGAATATCTCCTCATTTAATTGGTGAGAGATTAATCTCTCAAATATGGCCACATGCTAAATCTGAAACCATTTTCAACAGAATTTCTTCCATGTGCGTCAATCTTGTCAAATTTACATTTTTTTCCTATGTTTATATCAAAGAACGGGAGCAGTGGTAAAATTGTTCCTTCATGACTGAAAGGTTATGAAATTGCCTCTTTGCAATTATGTAAGGGTAAGACTGCGTACAAGGATTTCCTCCACTCCACACTCGTTAGTCGGGTTTAACGGAGAGTGGTTTTTGGTTTGGTTTATATCAAAGAACAAAAATCACAAATGTGGAAAATGTTTAAAACTTGGATAATTAATTAATATAAAGTCGTAGATCATAAGCCTTTATTAGAAACATATATCAAGTGCAGGGTACATTATTGGTGTAGAAACTAAAACCATATAGGTAAGAGGTACCCTTATTCTAATTAAGTGACAAACTGAGTTTATTATCAGTAATCACATGTTTCAATTGAAACTGAGTTGGTATTTAGGTGATTTATCAGGTCTGAAGAGACCAAAGTGCTTCTCAATTTCTGGACCCTGCTTCTGGTTTTCATCAAACATAGCAAAGAGATAAGTCTCTATGGGTCCATTAGGCCTCATTGGAGTCCCACCCTTGGCGTGATTAATCAGATTCTTATAGTAAGTGGCTGCGTTATCAACAGTGGCTCCAGTTCCACCTTCAGATGGCCACCCACTCTCAGATACAACAACCTTCACATTTGGTGCCCCTACTTTCTCAAGAGCAGCATACACAGAATCCAACAATGCATCAAACAGGTTTTGGTACCCAACCTCGTTTGCTCCTTGTTTTGTAAACAAAGCATAGTCAAGACCAATGCTTTGTTGGTTATTAACATAAGAGAAATATGGGTACACGTTTGCAAGAAGCGGTGCTCCATTGCTTACTAGGAAGCTTATAATAGGCTTTATATATTGACTTGCACTATCGGTGAAAACACCATCTTTTGGTGGGTAAGAGTTTGTTATGAGGGTGGTGTCTATTGCGGTGGAGACCTTGATTTGTCCTTGTAAATTGGCTGAAGAAACTGCATTCTGAATGTTTTGCAATACGGGAAGAACAGATCCTGCTGCAGCATCACCTGGGTGAACCTCGTTACCAATTGCAATGTACTTGATTTTGACGTCTGGTGAGTATGCTTTCACATACTTATTGACCCAATCTGTGGCAGCTCCAGCATTAGTAAGATCTTGAAGCTTGTTATTATCAGAAACACCAAGGATCACCTCTATGTTTGAACCTCTAAGGGCTTGAAGTGCTCCTTCATCTGGATCATATATACGCATTCTTCCAATTCCATTTGATTTATATAAATCCACCACCGCTTCCTTAGTTGGTAAGTTGTTTCCACTTCCTCCATAACAGACTCCCACAGATTGTGCACCTGCATGATATATTAATGTTGAACCAAAAGTTAGTGATTCTGAGATTGAAATTGTTAGTCTAGACATCATGTACATATTTATATTAATTAAAATACAACAGGTTGGAAATATTCATCTGATTCTAATTAAGTTGAAGTTAAAAAGAGACAA